CCCATTTAAAATGCTGCGTGGCTTCCTTTGAGAAGCTCCTGACATCTGTGATGAGGAATGGGTTCTGAATGAACATGGTGAGCTGCTGGCCAATGCTGAAGCTATCAAAACGATTGCTGAAGTTAGCAATAAGCTTATCAATGAAGACAACAAACGACGAGACATCTCGCTGTCCCTGAACCTGTTCCTGCACTGCTGGGAAGTGGACACAGTCTTCCTGCAAGTCCTCCTTGAACATTTCAAGTTTTCTCTGAAAGGCACGGACAGCTGGAATTGTCCTTGCCCTGTAGCTTCAAGTTCAGCTAGTTTAGATGTGAAGTTATATCAACCAAAAAGGCAACATTGTCCATCTGCTTCTCATTTTCTAGAAATGTAGAAAACTGTGTTGCCTTATGATGTTTTAGCTCTGCCAAAAAAGATGCTACTTCCCTCCTGATGGCCCAAAAGCGTGCTAAAACTCTGCCTTTGCTGAGCCATCTCACATTGTTGGGCAGCAGAAGATCATCAACATTGGCATCCACTTCTTTGAGGAATTCTCTAAGCATGCGATGCTGGTAGGAAGAGGACGCTCTAAGAAAGTTGATCATTTTCATCACTGAAGTCATCACCCCAGCATGCTCATCTGACAGGGAGGCACAGAGGACCGATTGATGAATAATGCAATGGTAGGTTAAGAGGTCAGGGTTGTCTTTCTTCATTCTTGTTACAGCTCCCTTTTCTCTCCCTATCATAGCAGGGGCTCCATCTGTAGTTATTGAAATCACTTTTGAAGGCTCAATTCCTCTCTTTGCCAACATCTCCATAATGGCCAGGTAGATGGTAGATGTCCTCTCCTGTGGTGCTGGTCTGAAGACCCAGCAGGTCTTCATAGAATGCTTTCTGCTCTGCGTAATAAAACCTCACATAAACCAACAGCTGAGCATTATCACACACGCCAGTGGACTCATCTACAGCCAAACCCACACATGGTGCCTTCTGTATGGCTCCATCTAGCTGGGCTAAAACATCCTGAGTCAGTATTTCACTTTTCTTTGTAGCAGATGATGCTGATATGGGGATTTGCTTTATTTTTTCACAAACTTCTTGTTTTTCTTTTCCTTCAAACAGTGTTTCAGCAACTGCTGTCATACACTCTTTGACAACCTCTCCATCAGTAAATGGTTTTTTGTGCTGACCCAAAATCCAAGAAACTCTGAGGGAACTCTCATGGGCTCGCTGCTGAGCAGTGGATGTGTGGCTCAGGATCCTGGTGGAAGGTTCATATTGGGCTTTGAGACTACGTATTTTCTCTGATCGTACTTCTGATCTGAGGAGATATGTTTCTTCAAAACATTTGTGTTTTGTCTCATAATGGCGTTTCACATTGCCACTTTTAATAAGTGCCACTGTTTCTGAACATATGAGACAAACAGGTTTTGTGCCACCAGTGGGAAGAACAAAGAGAAATGACTCTGTCCATTCTGGATTAAATGCTCTATTTTCGCTGTCCACTTTCCGTTTTTTAGAGGCTGCCATTTCTGCTTTCTCTACTTCTCTCCGTCTCACCCGCCTGAATCTCTCCTTGTCGCCTGTCGCCGCTCTCCTTTTCTCTGCCTGAATTCCTCCTCCTTTCCACCTGAATCTCTCCTTGTCGCTGCTCTTAGCCTGAATGTCTCCTTCTTTCCACCGCTCTCTGCCTGAATCTCTCGTTTTCTCTGTTCAAATTTCTGCTCTTCGCTGCTCTCCTTCTCTCCGGCGTCTGAACCGTTTATTTTCGCTACGTATCGCCTGTATTTTCTGGCAGGAATAAAACATGTTATTGGCTTGTTGGTGTCACGTGGTCTGACTAAACTCGCGCACAATTGGCCTGTGGGTGTTCATGGATGCTAGAATACTACCGTAAAGAATGCAATAGCTGCACCGGCCAGAAGCGGTTATAAAATTAGGCGAACTTTATTTTGGCATTAGACTCGGGTCCACACCAGACAGCATTTCGGTCCGGTTCCGGACCCAGGTCCGCCTATTAGTGATCTCTGCTGTAGTGGGTGTTGTGGTCTCAGATGTGTGGGCTGATCTTCATCAAATAGTCTCTGCGCCAGCGCTTCCAAAAGCTGTTCAAAAGTCTCTGGCGGTATTCCCATCGTCGTCCCAGCTCCTCTTCGTTGACAATGGGGGTGTGAGGCTGGGAAGACCGATTCTTTGGTGGTAGAGAAGTTGGTCGGTTTCCAACCAGGAAATGAGAAGGGGTTAGTGGCTGAGGTTCTAGAACATCATTATATACATAAGACAATGGTCTAGAGTTCAACACTGCTTCACCCTCTGTCAGCACAGTTGTTAGTTCCTCAAAGTTCAAAGAGGCCCTGCCCAGCACTCTTTTCAGACATGTTTTTACAGATCTCACAAGCCTCGCCCAGAAGTAAAGAACTTAGTGAGTTCTGAGCCTTTAATCACCTGCCACATCTCCTTCAAGTCCTTATCTGCCCTTTTAAATGTTTTAGCATTGTCAGAATACATGATCCTACATCCTACATCATACATGATCCTACATAGCCCTCTTCTAGCAATACATCTTTTTAGGGCTAACAGGAAGTTTTCAGTGCTCTGATCTGATACCAACTCCAAGTGTACTGCCCTTGTTACAGCACAGGTGAACAATACGATGTAAGCCTCTGTCGGTTGACTCTTAGTTTTAACATACAAGGGTCCCGCAAAATCCACCCCAGTGACTTCAAATGCTATCCTGAGGTAAAGGAGCAGTAATCTGCTGCGCCGCTTTAACCTTTAGCTTCCTGCAAATAAAACGTACAGAAACGATGCGTTTAATGAACTGTCTCCCTCTCAAGATCCAGTATTGCTCCCTCACTTGGATTAAAGTGTCTCTAACGCCAGAATGCATCACCCTTTCATGACAAGAACGAACCAATAGCTCAGAGTATTTATGACTGCTTGGTAGCACCCAGGGGTGCTGCTCTCTGAAGCTAAGATCAGAGTTCTGAAGTCTCCCTCCAACACATATCAGTCCCTCTTCATCCAAAAAAGGTTTCAAACCCTTAATCTTAGAGTCTCTCTTCACATTCTGTTTGAGCTGTAACTTGTGGATTTCTGAGCTAAAGCTACTCTCCTGTGTCTGCTTCACCCAGTACCTTTCGGCAGCCCTGATCTCGTCCGCGGTCAGCTCTCCTTTCAGTTTTTGACTGGATCGTGTGTTTGTCACAAATCTTTTAACCCATGCAGTTACTCTTAACACTGTCCTAAGTCGACTGTATTTTTCAACGTCAAACAGTGGTTCAGCCTGCTCAGCACGTGTCAGTAGTACTACAACCTGGTGCTTAGTTTTAAGTTCACAGTTCACCTCAGATGACACATGGTTCTCATCCACCTGTTCTCTTTCATCGGCTGCTGGCAATGATTTAGGTCCACTCCACCACAGCTGACTCTGGACATGCTGGCCTCTGGTGGGTAGGTGTGCAGGGTTGGTTTTGCCCATACAATGGGACCACAGCTCTGGATTTGTGAGCTCTTGTATCTCGGTCACTCTGTTGGCCACGAATGGTTTCCACCGCTGAGCAGAGCTATGAATCCAGTGAAGCGTGATCATCGAGTCCGTCCACATGTGAAGCTGATTTCTTTCCAGATCAAATGCCTTTAGAAGACTGTGTCCCAGTCTGGCTCCAGTAAGTGCACCCACAAGTTCTAAACGAGGCAAAGTCATTTTTTTTAATGGTGCAACTCGTGACTTGGAAGCAACAAAACTTGTCACGGTCTCTCCTTCTCAGTTTTTTCCTTTCAGATAGGCCACAGCACTGTAAGCCTTTTCACTTGCATCGCAGTAAACCTGTAAGCTTACGCTCTGTGAATCTGGATGCTCAATGTGATGCCACCTAGGAATGACCACTAGGTGGAGCAGTGGTAACTCAGCACACCACTGTTCCCATTTCTCTAACTTAGGGGGTAGTTGTTCATCCCATTTAAGCCCACTTTCCCACATCTCTTGGAAAAGGCACTTGGCTCTGATGGTAAATGGTGTGAGAAAGCCAATCGGTCAAATATGCCAGATGATGTCTGCAAAACACCTCGTTTTGTGTTTTCCTTCCCCTGTACAATGTCCATAACACAAAGTCATCAGCCCCAGATCTCCAGACTAGTCCTAGGACCTTGAGTACATTTCCACTTAGCTCACTTTCCACACCATGCTCTAGTCCATTCTCCTTCCACAAGGCTCTGAGCTCAGGGGAGTTAGTAACCCACTTGCACAAGTTCATCCCGGCTTGGGACAGAATGTCTTTTGCTTCTGTTGTCACACAATGGGCTTCTTGCACATTTGACACACTGGCAATAAAGTCATCAACGTATAAGGAGTCTCTCAGCGTCTGCACTGTTTTTGTCTGCTTGGTTTCATATTGTTTGAGATGCTTTCGGATTGTGGCGGCAAGCAGGAATGGGCTAGGATGAGGTGCGTATTCTCCAAATACAACTCTGTTCATTCGTAGAATACGCACCTCATCCTCGCAGTCTTTGGTTGGGGGTCCATGGAGCCACAGGAATCAAACTGCATCCTTGTCCTTATCCGTCAGGGATATCTGCAAAAAAGCCTTTGTGATGTCTGCAGTAAAGGCTATCTCATGCAATCTGAATTTAGTCAGCACATCCAGCAGATCTGGGTTCAAATTGGGCCCAGTGTACAGACCGTCATTAAGGGATGGGGGATTTTCCTCGTGATGATGCATCAAAACCCACTCTGAGTTTGGTTGCTGCCTTGTCTTCTAGCACAACAGTGTGTGTGTGTGTGTGTGTGTGTGTGTGTGTGTGTGTGTGGGGGGGGGGGGGGGTCCCTAGTATGGTATAATTCAACAAAGGTGGGCATGAGCTGTGCTGCTTTTGGAGACTCTGAACCTCATTAAGTAAATTGCTGTGTGTGTGTGTCCTTGTGCTGCGCTGCTGTGGGACGCACGCACACACCCACACACACACACACACACACACACACACACACACACACACACACACAGCTCACTCTCTTCTCCAGAGAGGAATGGTGGGACAAAGAAAATACTATACCCTGAATACTTCACTGATAATCAAAGTGATATTTATAATAAAATAAAAGTAGTTTAATAGAAAGAATGAATATTTTGTGAAAGTAGGCCCAGAGCTAGCAGCTAATATACCAAGCCAAAACAGACAGTAGGTGAACCATGTTGCTGTTGTTTATGTCATTATTATTATTACTATCACTAGTTCCATAAAATGTTCATGTAAAATGCTCTCATTAGTAGCTGCATATATATATATATATATATATATTATATATGTGTAACTCAGAGTTTTTAGAACTGTGAAACCCACCTTGACAGCAGAGGTGTGTTGGGATAGCCATGTTTGTCCTTCTCAGCTGTCCGTGACTGTCAGAGGTCCACATGAAGCCAGATTTGTGAACGGCCGAGGGTTCATACTCAATCGCTCTTGAGTTTGCTATTTAGATCAGTCACTGACAGACATGTTTGTTTCCATATTGCTTCTGTGAAGCTCTATCTATGAGTAATACCTGTCATTCCTCTTGGTCTTAACCTTTACTTTCTTTTATATTTGATTGAGTTTAGCGGAGCAGAAACAAAAAGCAATGCTTTTTCCCACTTTAGGCGCTGAGATGCTCCGAAAGATGTAGAAGTGAGGTTTTACTCAGGCTGTTGTCACACCTGTCCTCACACAGAAGGAAGAGCCCAAAGTCGGTGTGGAGAACACTGCAGGACACACGGACACTAGGAAGGAGCTGCAGGTGGAGTCTGCGGAGTACACAGAGCTGGCTCTGGACTGCCTGGACCTGAAGGCTCAAGAGGAGCTGCTCTCGCCCCACCTCTCAGGTCTTTGTCAGGCTTTGTGTAGCTCTTCTTTCTCTGAACAGGTGACTTGTAGTGACCTTATGGGATGCTGTTCAGCTGCTACAGGAGATGCTGAGGTGACAGGAACAGACCTAGGTGAGGAGTTACCGCTGTGCTGCTGTCGTATGGAGACTCCCAACAGCTCAGGGAGTCAGTCGGTCCTGGCCTGGACCTGCATGGCCATGGAACACGCGGATGGAACGGTAAAGGTGTTTCTGTTGCAGCATCTTCTCCAGTCTGAAGTACTCCTAACAGAGTTTAGGTGGTGCAGCAAGAAGGATTATCATCATCATGTCATAAAGACTCACTGTGATCCCTCCTGCAGACTTCCTGCCAAAGGCCCGTGATGAAGCAGGAAATGATGCGCCCTTCCAATGCAGTCCAGCTGCTGGTTCTGTGTGAGGACCACCGGGCCGGCATGGTCAAACATCAGTGTTGTCCTGGATGTGGATTCTTCTGCAGGCTGGTGAGATATGATTAACACACAGGTCACGTGGAGGACGGTAGCCGGAGGTCCTGCCTCTGAAGCACACCAGAAGGAAGGAGACGCTGAGGGAGGTGGGGGGAAGGAAACTGCTCTGTGACAAATGCGTTAGCTGCTGTATGAGAGAGCGGGAGTCTGATGAGCTTAGGAGTTCATGTTGTTGGAATGCCAGAAGAGGTTCAGCTGTGGTCTTCAGGCTCATGGTTCCAGTTCCTTCAGACCAAGAAAACCTTCAGAGCTAGAGCCGCTCCTCCCCATTGAGAGGACTCGGCTCAGGCAGCGGATCAGGATGCCTCCGGGTTGTCTTCGTCTGCAGGTTTCCTGGCTCCCAGACTCTGGGGCAGAGCCATACCTCGCTGGAGGGCTTCCACATCCTCTCTGGATCCTCTAGCAGGAGCTGGAGAGCAGGGTCTGGACTTCTGTGGTCATACTGCTGAGTGTTTGTCTCTGACCTGAACAGATGTCCACCTCAGCATCAAAAAACCGCTCCAGGCTTTGAACAGCCGACACGTTTAGAGGTACTGGTGAACCTGTGTTTTCTGGCTCCTCCCACAGGGCTCCTTCATGGAGTGCCGGCCGTACGGCAGCATTTCCCATCGGTTTCACCGCCAGTGTGCCTCCATCTTGAAGGATCGCAGGTTTTGTCCCCACTGTGGAGAAGATGCCAGTGGAGCAAAGGAGGTTGTGGTTCCAAAGTCTGATCCGTCCCCCTCAGTACCCAGATCCAGTCCTGGACCGTCTCTTCCCGCTGCAGCCACCCTCCCGTCCCTCCCAACCATTCCAGCTGTTCCTCAAATACTCCGAGCTAAAAAGTCCATGGATCCCCAGAGGAGCAGAGCAGAGAGCTCGAGCAGGTAAAACGCACCACCATGATGCGTCTTCGTCTCTAAACACAAAAGAGCTCCACCGTGGTTCAGCACTCACAAGGCTTCGTCTTTGTCTCCAGGCCCAAAGGAGACAAACTTCCTAAAGAGTCCCTGGAAAGCATCCTCATGTCCCTGGATGATGAGAAGTACGTCCACAAAGATGACACGAACGAAGCACTGCAGCGTTTCGGCTGTCATGAATGATCTAGACCTGCTTTTACTTTCAGCCTGAAGCTAAAGAAAGTCAAGTATCCAGCCAGGCAGCTGTTTGTCTCTGCAAAGGAAGGAGACCTGCAGAGGGTCATTCAGCTTCTAGGTGACTGAGACACACACTCACAGCAACTGCATGTGAACACACACACTTACTCTCCTCCTAAATGACTGGAGGATGACGTGTTAAATGTAGGAGGGGATCTTCCTGAGGATGCCCTGCAGCCAAGCGTGCTCCAGAGTCCTCTGCTGCTCATTGTCATCCAGGTGGCCAATCATCATCTCTCCAGGACCACTGGGCAGATTTGAAAATAAACTACGAACAAAAATCTGCAGCTGATTATTTTTAGGGGCAATCCCCTTTAAGATCTGGTCTGGTCAGGTCAGATCTGGTCAGTTCAGGTCTGGTCTGGTCTGGTCAGATCAGGTCAGGTCTGGTCAGGTCAGGTCTGGTCTGGTCTGGTCAGGTCAGGTCAGGTCAGGTCTGGTCTGGTCAGGTCAGGTCAGGTCAGATCTGGTCTGGTCAGGTCAGGTCTGGTCTGGTCAGGTCAGGTCAGGTCTGGTCTAGTCTGGTCAGGTCAGATCAGGTCAGGTCAGATCTGGTCTGGTCAGGTCAGGTCTGGTCTGGTCAGGTCAGATCAGGTCAGGTCAGATCTGGTCTGGTCTGGTCTGGTCTGGTCAGGTCAGGTCTGGTCAGGTCAGGTCAGGTCTAGTCTGGTCAGGTCAGGTCAGGTCTGGTCTGGTCAGATCAGGTCAGGTCAGATCTGGTCTGGTCTGGTCAGGTCAGATCTGGTCTGGTCTGGTCAGGTCAGATCAAGTCAGGTCAGATCTGGTCAGATCTGGTCTGGTCAGATCAGGTCAGGTCAGGTCAGGTCTGGTCTAGTCTGGTCAGGTCAGGTCTGGTCTGGTCAGATCTGGTCTGGTCAGGTCAGATCTGGTCTGGTCTGGTCTGGTGTGGTCTGGTCTGGTCAGGTCAGGTCAGATCTGGTCTGGTCTGGTCAGGTCAGGTCAGGTCTGGTCTGGTCTGGTCAGATCTGGTCAGGTCAGATCTGGTCTTGTCTGGTCTGGTCTGGTCAGATCTGGTCAGGTCAGGTCAGATCTGGTCTGGTCTGGTCAGATCTGGTCTGGTCTGGTCTGGTCAGATCTGGTCTGGTCTGGTCTGGTCTGGTCAGGTCAGTTCTGGTCTGGTCTGGTCTGGTCAGATCTGGTCTGGTCTGGTCTGGTCAGATCTGGTCTGGTCTGGTCTGGTTAGATCTGGTCTGGTCAGGTCAGATCTGGTCTGGTCTGGTCTGGTCTGGTCTGGTCAGGTCAGGTCAGGTCAGGTCAGGTCAGGTCTGGTCTGGTCTGGTCAGGTCAGGTCTGGTCTGGTCAGATCTGGTCAGGTCAGATCTGGTCTGGTCTGGACTGGTCAGATCTGGTCAGGTCAGGTCAGATCTGGTCTGGTCTGGTCTGGTCTGGTCAGATCTGGTCTGGTCTGGTCTGGTCAGGTCAGATCTGGTCTGGTCTGGTCAGATCTGGTCTGGTCTGGTCAGATCTGGTCTGGTCTGGTCAGATCTGCTCTGGTCAGGTCAGGTCAGGTCTGGTCTGGTCAGGTCAGATCTGCTCTGGTCAGGTCAGGTCAGGTCTGGTCTGGTCTGGTCAGGTCTCTGGTGTCAGGTCCGGTCTCGGCCTGGGCCCAAATATAAAAAGTTGGTCCAACCCCACCAGTGCTTTGACCTAAGCTGGAGGTCCACTTGATGTTTTCAGAGGATTACTTAAAGAAGGTTGAAGCTGGTATCAATAAACATGATTTATGTCTCGGACCATCTTAACTTACTGGTTATCTATTCAACAGGATTATTTTTAAAGATGCCAAATGTAAGCACAAGTTCACATTTCTGATCTGGAGACATTCCTGTTCCTGTAAGCTCTTTGGTCGTGGTTTCTCTGAGCCGCGTGTTCCCGTGTGATCCTGATTTCAGTATGAATTAACATGGAGTCTGGCATCCTGGGAATCTTGTCCCCGTGTGGAAATGCCTGCACAGGAACTCTTACATCCAACCTCTAAACTGTGTGTCATAGTTGATGGGAAGGACCCAAACTTCCTGATGGAGAGCCAGAATAAACAAACTCCACTTCATGTAGCAGCAGCAGAGGGTCACCGGGACATCTGCCACATGCTCGTTCAGGTAGGACCACTGTGATCCTAAAGAACTCTCTCCTGCTCGGATAACTGACGGCTTTAGTCAGGAGACCTTTTGTTTCCTCTGGGAGGAGAGACAGCCAGACTTCACCTGGACATATGTAGACACCTCTCTGGGCTGCTGTAGTCACATGATGGCTCCATGTTGTTGTGCACACAGGCTGGCGCCAACCTGGACACGTTTGACGAGGAGCACCGAACAGCGCTGATGTCGGCCTGTGAAAACAACCAGCTGGATACGGTGAAGTACCTGCTGAGAGCCGGAGCCGCTGTGGGACACAAGGTGGGTCAGGAGGACACGAACGCACACAATGTGGCGTACTACAGCGTGTGTGTGTGCAAATGTTCCGACAGCAAGAGGAAGATGGATGCCCTTTTCTGTCTTTGATGCTAAAGCGTCCTCTAGAGAGGCAACGAGTAGAAGCGAGTTTCTGTGTGAGCCTACTTCCTGTTTCTCACTGTGAATTGTGTCGTCACCCCAGGACGTCCTGGGTTTCACCTGTCTGCACCTGGCAGCCAAACTGGGACACTATGAAATAGTCAGCCATCTGCTCACTAAGGCATCCAAATACATCAACTGTCAGGTAAGAACACATTCTCCTCTGCTAATACGGTCCGAACAGCCCTAAACGAGAGCGCTGACCAGCTGGTGACTGCAGGATGATGGAAGGTGGACCCCCATCACCTGGGCCGTGGAGTACAAGCACAAGGAGGTGGCTCACCTGCTGCTGAACAAAGGCGCTGATGTCAACATCAGGGATAAGGTCAGCGTCTGCAGTAGTTAGCCATGCAACCGTTTGAGTTCAGGCTGGCTCACAGTAAGAAAGGTGCAGGTTTGAATCCTGCCATGGCCTTTTAGCATGGAGCTGGCATGTTGTCCCTGTGCATTAGTGGTTGGCAGTGGTCTGCCAGCTCCAGGAAGTTAACAGGAACACAAACATTTCTCTACAACTTTACAAACAAGAAAAGCTTATGGCTCTGGAACAGAAATCAGGTGGCAGTGGGCCGTTCAAAAGGTGCGATGATGTGAAAGGTCCTGGATGGGGCCTGACCATCACGAGCCTGAATGCGTGGACGGAGCAGAGGGAGAAGCTGCAGCTGCTCTCTGTCAGGATTCCAGCAGCAGCACATGTAGATGATGAAGAGTAGAGCTTTACCTTCACTCGCCCAGCTCATCTGTTTATCTCCGTAAACGGAGCAACACATCAACTCCATCTAGTCTCCCATCACACCTTTAAAACTTCTGATTTCTACCCAAGTCACCATAGAAACATCCAGACTTCCTGGAGCAGAAACCCAACACTCGGGCCACGGGTGTCAGATATGATCTGTGTGCAGGAGGAGAACATCTGCCTGCACTGGGCAGCTCTGTCGGGCTGCGAGGACGTCGCCCAGGCGCTGCTGGAGGCTCGCTGTGACCTGAACTCTGTCAACATTCACGGGGACACAGCTCTTCACATTGCAGCTCGAGAAAACCACCTGGAGTGTGTGATGTGAGTGTCTGCTACACACCTTCATTTAGCTCAGATCAGGCAGGTGTGTGCTTAGCATCGGTTCTTCGGCTTCACTGAGACGATCCAGGTCCCAGCACGTCTTCTGGCTGGAGTCCATGCTGTCCGTGACATTCTAGTGTGGGCTGTCTCAGCCTGTCAGTAACTGCAGCTGAGCACAGGAGCCGACCAGGACCCACAGAGATGTTGGAGGTCCATCACCACCTACAGTCTGCCTGTCACTGCCCTCTGGAACCGTATCACAATACAGAAAAAAAGAGCACCATCTCAAATAAAATGTCAAAATAAAACTTCCAGAAAACCCAGAAAATTTCCATCAGAGTGGTGTTGAATCTGAAAACTAGCGGTAAAATCTAATAGAACCGTTCTGGGATGACGAAGCAACACAACGTCAAAGTTGTTTTATTTCCTGGAGTCCATTGCTAAGCGACCGTGATCAGCAGCAGCACCAACAGATGATCGTATCTGCTGTGTCGGTGTCACGAAATAGTGGAACATTCAAATCTAAGATGAAAGTCGGACCTATTTACATTCTAAAAGTGACATCAGTGGTTCAGATCATTTTCATCTGCTGCTCATCTGAAACGTTAAATAGATTTACCCAGTCTAACTAATAACATGTTACAACTAATAACATGTTACAACTAATAACATGTTACAACTAATCACATGTTACAACTAATAACATGTTACAACTAATAACATGTTACAACTAATAACATGTTACAACTAATAACATGTTACAACTAATAACATGTTACAACTAATCACATGTTACAACTAATAACATGCTACAACTAATCACATGTTACAACTAATAACATGCTACAACTAATAACATGTAACAACTAATCACATGTTACAACTAATAACATGTTACAACTAATCACATGTTACAACTAATAACATGTTACAACTAATCACATGTTACAACTAATAACATGTTACACCTAATCACATGTTACAACTAATAACATGTTACAACTAATAACATGCTACAACTAATCACATGTTACAACTAATAACATGCTACAACTAATAACATGCTACAACTAATCACATGTTACAACTAATAACATGCTACAACTAATCACTTGTTACAACTAATAACATGCTACAACTAATAACATGTTACAACTAATCACATGTTACAACTAATAACATGTTACAACAAATAACATGTTACAACTAATCACATGTTACAACTAATCACATGTTACAACTAATCACATGTTACAACTAATAACATGTTACAACTAATAACATGTTACAACTAATAACATGTTACAACTAATCACATGTTACAACTAATAACATGTTACAACTAATAACATGTTACAACTAATCACATGTTACAACTAATCACATGTTACAACTAATAACATGTTACAACTAATAACATGTTACAACTAATAACATGCTACAACTAATAACATGTTACAACTAATCACGTGTTACAACTAATAACATGCTACAACTAATCACATGTTACAACTAATAACATGTTACAACTAATCACATGCTACAACTAATAACATGTTACAACTAATCACATGTTACAACTAATAACATGCTACAACTAATCACATGTTACAACTAATAACATGCTACAACTAATCACATGTTACAACTAATAACATGTTTCAACTAATAACATGCTACAACTAATAACATGTTACAACTAATAACATGTTACAACTAATAACATGCTACAACTAATAACATGTTACAACTAATAACATGTTACAACTAATCACATGTTACAACTAATAACATGCTACAACTAATAACATGTTACAACTAATCACATGTTACAACTAATCACATGTTACAACTAATAACATGTTACAACTAATAACATGCTACAACTAATCACATGTTACAACTAATAACATGCTACAACTAATCACATGTTACAACTAATAACATGCTACAACTAATCACATGTTACAACTAATAACATGTTACAACTAATCACATGCTACAACTAATCACATGTTACAACTAATAACATGTTACAACTAATAACATGTTACAACTAATAACATGTTACAACTAATAACATGTTACAACTAATAACATGTTACAACTAATCACATGTTACAACTAATCACATGTTACAACTAATCACATGTTACAACTAATAACATGTTACAACTAATAACATGTTACAACTAATAACATGCTACATCTAATAACATGCTACAACTAATAACATGCTACAACTAATAACATGTTACAACTAATAACATGTTACAACTAATCACATGTTACAACTAATCACATGCTACAAGTAATAACATGTTACAACTAATAACATGCTACAACTAATAACATGCTACAACTAATAACATGTTACAACTAATCACATGTTACAACTAATCACATGTTACAACTAATAACATGTTACAACTAATAACATGCTACAACTAATAACATGTTACAACTAATAACATGTTACAACTAATTGCATGTTACAACTAATCACATGTTACAACTAATAACATGTTACAACTAATCACATGTTACAACTAATCACATGTTACAACTAATAACATGCTACAACTAATCACATGTTACAACTAATAACATGCTACAACTAATCACATGTTACAACTAATAACATGTTACAACTAATAACATGTTACAACTAATAACATGTTACAACTAATCACATGTTACAACTAATCACATGTTACAACTAATCACATGTTACAACTAATCACATGTTACAACTAATCACATGCTACAACTAATCACATGCTACAACTAATCACATGCTACAACTAATCACATGCTACAACTAATAACATGCTACAACTAATAACATGCTACAACTAATAACATGTTACAACTAATAACATGTTACAACAATCACATGTTACAACTAATCACATGTTACAACTAATAACATGCTACAACTAATCACATGTTACAACTAATCACATGTTACAACTAATCACATGTTACAACTAATCACATGTTACAACTAATAACATGCTACAACTAATCACATGCTACAACTAATCACATGCTACAACTAATCACATGCTACAACTAATCACATGCTACAACTAATCACATGTTTCAACTAATCACATGCTACAACTAATCACATGCTACAACTAATCACATGCTACAACTAATAACATGCTACAACTAATAACATGCTACAACTAATAACATGTTACAACTAATCACATGTTACAACTAATAACATGTTACAACTAATAACATGTTACAACTAATAACATGTTACAACTAATCACATGTTACAACTAATCACATGTTACAACTAATAACATGCTACAACTAATAACATGTTACAACTAATAACATGCTACATCTAATAACATGCTACAACTAATAACATGCTACAACTAATAACATGTTACAACTAATCACATGTTACAACTAATCACATGTTACAACTAATCACATCCTACAACTAATAACATGTTACAACTAATAACATGCTACAACTAATAACATGCTACAACTAATAACATGCTACAACTAATCACATGTTACAACTAATAACATGTTACAACTAATAACATGTTACAACTAATCACATGTTACAACTAATCACATGTTACAACTAATCACATGTTACAACTAATCACATGTTACAACTAATCACATGCTACAACTAATCACATGCTACAACTAATCACATGCTACAACTAATCACATGCTACAACTAATAACATGTTACAACTAATCACATGTTACAACTAATCACATCCTACAACTAATAACATGTTACAACTAATAACATGCTACAACTAATAACATGCTACAACTAATCACATGTTACAACTAATCACATGTTACAACTAATAACATGTTACAACTAATAACATGCTACAACTAATAACATGTTACAACTAATAACATGTTACAACTAATTGCATGTTACAACTAATCACATGTTACAACTAATCACATGTTACAACTAATCACATGTTACAACTAATAACATGCTACAACTAATCACATGTTACAACTAATAACATGCTACAACTAATCACATGTTACAACTAATAACATGTTACAACTAATAACATGCTACAACTAATAACATGTTACAACTAATCACATGTTACAACTAATCACATGTTACAACTAATCACATGTTACAACTAATCACATGTTACAACTAATAACATGTTACAACTAATAACATGTTACAACTAATCACATGTTACAACTAATCACATGCTACAACTAATCACATGCTACAACTAATCACATGCTACAACTAATAACATGTTACAACTAATAACATGCTACAACTAATAACATGTTACAACTAATCACATGTTACAACTAATCACATGTTACAACTAATAACATGTTACAACTAATAACATGCTACAACTAATAACATGTTACAACTAATCACATGTTACAACTAATAACATGCTACAACTAATCACATGTTACAACTAATCACATGCTACAACTAATCACATGTTACAACTAATAACATGCTACAACTAATCACATGTTACAACTAATAACATGTTACAACTAATAACATGTTACAACTAATAACATGCTACAACTAATAACATGTTACAACTAATAACATGTTACAACTAATAACATGCTACAACTAATAACATGTTACAACTAATAACATGTTACAACTAATAGCATGTTACAACTAATAACATGTTACAACTAATAACATGTTACAACAATCACATGTTACATCTAATAACATGTTACATCTAATAACATGTTACAGCTAATCACATGTTACAACTAATCACATGTTACAACTAATCACATGCTACAACTAATAACATGTTACAACTAATAACATGCTACAACTAATAACATGTTACAACTAATCACATGTTACAACTAATCACATGTTACAACTAATAACATGTTACAACTAATAACATGCTACAACTAATAACATGCTACAACTAATAACATGTTACAACTAATAACATGTTACAACTAATCACATGTTACAACTAATAACATGTTACAACTAATCACATGTTACAACTAATAACATGCTACAACTAATAACATGTTACAACTAATAACATGCTACATCTAATAACATGTTACATCTAATAACATGCTACAACTAATAACATGTTACAACTAATCACATGTTACAACTAATCACATGCTACAACTAATAACATGTTACAACTAATAACATGCTACAACTAATAACATGTTACAACTAATCACATGTTACAACTAATCACATGTTACAACTAATCACATGCTACAACTAATCACATGCCACAACTAATAACATGCTACAACTAATAACATGTTACAACTAATCACATGTTACAACTAATCACATGTTACAACTAATCACATGTTACAACTAATCACATGTTACAACTAATAACATGTTACAACTAATAACATGCTACAACTAATCACATGTTACAACTAATCACATGCTACAACTAATCACATGTTACAACTAATCACATGTTACAACTAATCACATGTTACAACTTATAACATGTTACAACTAATAACATGCTACAACTAATCACATGTTACAACTAATCACATGTTACAACTAATCACATGTTACAACTAATCACATGTTACAACTAATCACATGTTACAACTTATAACATGTTACAACTAATAACATGTTACAACTAATCACATGTTACAACTAATCACATGTTACAACTAATCACATGTTACAACTAATCACATGTTACAACTAATCACATGTTACAACTAATCACATGTTACAACTAATCACATGTTACAACTAATCACATGTTACAACTAATAACATGTTACAACTAATAACATGTTACAACTAATAACATGTTACAACTAATCACATGCTACAACTAATCACATGCTACAACTAATCACATGTTACAACTAATCACATGCTACAACTAATCACATGCTACAACTAATCACATGCTACAACTAATCACATGCTACAACTAATCACATGCTACAACTAATCACATGCTACAACTAATCACATGCTACAACTAATCACATGCTACAACTAATCACATGTTACAACTAATCACATGTTACAACTAATCACATGCTACAACTAATCACATGCTACAACTAATAACATGCTACAACTAATAACATGTTACAACTAATAACATGCTACAACTAATCACATGTTACAACTAATCACATGTTACAACTAATAACATGCTACAACTAATCACATGTTACAACTAATAACATGTTACAACTAATAACATGCTACAACTAATCACAGGGTTTTAAAGATTTTAGGTGTTTCAAACGTAATTCCTACTAACGCTGGTGCTCATTCATCATTAGTTTGCATGTTGTTGTTTAGTGTATTTGCACTGGACTTAAATTCCTCAGGGCTCTGTGTTGGGCCCTAAATTATTCATACTATAATAAATGATATATGTAGTGTTTCCAGACTGTTAAAATATGTATTGTTTGCTGATGATACCACGTTGTATTGCTCCGGTACAAATCTAGAGCAGCTTCTGACTACAGTGGAGAAGGAGTTAAATATATCAAAAACCTGGTTTGATATAAATAAGATATCGTCGTTAAATATAAAGAAAACAAAATGGATTGTTTTCGGCACTAGACAAATGAAAAATATATCTAAAATCAGGGTCAATGGAATTGAAAGAGTGTGTGAAAATAAATTTCTTGGAGTGATAATTGATGACAAGTTGAGCTGGAAGTCTCATATAAATCATGTGAAAACAAAAATGTCAAAAAGCATTGCTATACTCTACAAAACAAAGTATGTCCTGAACAAGAAATCATTACACATACTCTATTGTACTCTGTTGCTTCCATATGTGGGTAATGCATATAAAACAAATACTCTTCCTGTTTTCAAGTTACAAAAAAGAGCTATAAGAATTATAAATCAATCTCACTGTGTAGAACCAACTAACATTATGTTTGTTCATCTGAATACCCTGACATTTTATGATTGAATTGAATTTAAAACGGCACAGATGATGTATAAAGCACTAAATCACTTGCTTTGCCGCAATACTCAGCAGCTGTTTAAGCTCAGAGAGAGTCAGTGTGACTTCAGGGAAACAGAACTGTTTAACAAAAACAGAATACAGACAGACATGAAGCAGAGATGTGTTTCTGCTAGAGGAGTGAACCCGTGGAATAGTTATGACTTAAAAAGGTGTCGTTCATTTTCCTTGTTTAAAAATAGAGTTTTAGAAAAATATAAAAATCAAGAACGAAAAGAGCAAAAGAAATAAAACTGAAACTCATGATTGTTTTGCTTTGATGAAGTTACTTACTTAAGGTGGAAAGTTTGTTTGTTTGTTTGTTTGTTTCATTTTCTGCCTGCAGCTCCTGTGTACTGGAGCTGCAGGCAGAAAGATCTTTGTTAGAAGGGTTGGTGGAATAAGCAAATGCTTCAGCCAATACCTTTGGATTAGCCTCGTCTTTGTTTTTATTTAATATTTTGTTTTTCACTGAGACATTTGAATGCTAATCAATCAATAAAGTTTTGAATAATGTTTGAAATAGATCATTCAATGGGCATAAATGTGGCTAAAACAGGTAGTTTATCCTCAAAAACAAAGTCTTTATAAACCCTTTTTATTTGTTTATTTCATTCAAAATAAAACAAATAAAACATAAACTATAAGATATGCATATCAACAAAATTCTACTTGGAAGGAAAAGGAGCAGAATGAAAAAAACATCTTATGATTTCTGCCCCCTTTTCCAGAAGAAATAATCTATTTATACACAGTTTCCATTGTCACACACACACACACACACGCACGCACACACGCACACACGCACACACGCACACACACACACACACACACACGCACGCACACACAGATTCATCTTAAACTGTTTCCTGTTCTAAATTCCAGAGCGATCATGATGTCATGAACATTTTCATGATTATTTAGTACACTCAGTTTGGTACATGTTTAATATATGAATTGAGTTGTTTTAATTTCCCTTTTAAGGTTATTCCATAATTTAACACCATTTACAGACATATTCCATTCCTTAATCTTAGTTCTACATCTGGGTTTTGTAAACACATCAGTTTCTTTCAGCACTAGTTCTCTTTGCAAATGTCTTCTGAATGTTTGCTGGCAGAGGACCTAAACTGGCTTTACACATGGTTTGTAAGGTGTTCCAGTCTTTTAAATCATGAAATTTCAGTCATTTATATTTAATAAACAACGGGTGGATCTCTACAGACACTAACTGATGATCTCACAGCTCTTTTCTGTAAAATAAATAAGGCTTGTGTGTATTTTTGTACGTTGCTCCCCACATTTTACACAGTAAGTCAAGTATGGAACCATCAGTGAATTGTACAATGCCACCAATCCAGTCTGCTCCTGCAGACCCAGTAAATAATAGATGTGCTCCTGTTCTCTAGTTTTACTCTATTGCTAATGTTATTATCTACTGGAGCTCTACTGTCCAGCCCACCCGTTCCTGCCGCTGCAGCCCAGTCCCAGTGTGGGTGGTGGATTACCGGGGTATGAAGGTTCTGGCTCATGTGCTGCAAATTCTCCTTCAAAGCAAAGTTATTTGTTTGAAGGAGATGTCTTTTTTTTTTCTCCATTCAGTAGATTTCTCTTCCCTGGTCTTACCTGCAGGTTGTTCCTGTCTCGCGGAGCTGACGTCACTTTGAGGAACAAGGAAGGAGACACGGCTCTTGACCTCAGTACTGTCGGCTCCAAGGTGTGGACAGCCCTCAACACCAACAAGAAGCTGACTGAAGCTCGGAGAGGACGCGACGGCCAGGGAGAGCGAGTGCTCAGCAGGTAGAGCATCTGTCCAGTGTTGGGAAAGCTACTTTAAAAAGTGATTAGTTATAGTAACTGATTACTTTGTCAAAAGTAACTGCTACTTACCTAGTTACAAGATTCTAAAAGTAACTAGTTAACAAAAAAAAACAAACAAATATTTTGTTTTTTTTTTTTATTGAAGAATGCAAGAAAAATGCGTTCCCGTCTTAATTAAACTTAATTAATTCACTATGAGTTACTACACTAGTGAAATATGAATGACTAATGACTGGAACATAATAAAATGTTTTTATAAACCTGAATAATTAAATAAATGGACACTTAACAGGAGGAACTACTAACAGGAACATTACACTAATCTGGACTATTAAAATGTGACGGTGAGATATCTAACAAGACCCCAGTCAGCTAATAGAAACACCTGTAAAGGTTCCTGAGCCTTTAGATGGTCTCTCAGTCTAGTTTAATTACAGAAATGAATGTAATGTTGTACAGTATTCTAATTTTTCCAGCTTCACGTAATTGTCTGTTATTAGTAGCATTTCTGTTGCTGCTAATCTAGTAACGGTTAAATAAATAAATAAAATCCTTTAAAATGACACTAGAAGAGGCACAAGCCTGATGGAGGACTTACATTTACTAACTTGGGTCAGACCCAACCACAGAAGAGCTGAAGCTGGGTGGTAAACACACACAGGTAGTTCTGATAACACCTGAGCTCCATGCCGTCTGAGACTGATGCATCAGTGTTACAGCGGGACTAAAGACATGATCAGGAACAGGTTACAGCTGGATGATCTAGGATGGTAGAAGATCAGGACGTCTGAGCGGTGAACAGGTGAGCGGACCTTCAGGACGTCCCGCTGTCACGCTAAGAAGGGCACGGCTGCAGATTCACGCCTGCAGGCGTAGACTATTCATCCTGTCTTCCTCGTTCTTCACGGCCGTGATGCTCTTGGATGAAAACATCCACCTCTTTATCTCCCAATCAGCTGATGACAGCTAGCCTAGTGAACTAGACCAAATTCTTGCTTTGCAAAGTTTGGTCTAGGAATGCTCCACTGGAACCTCTGCAGCCCCAGCAGCATTCTGGCTGGCCAATCACAGCTCTCTAGAGGGGTTTCAAACACATAAAGAGCTGTGATTAGTCCATAATGGTGGGCCAATCATAGTGCTCTATCTGCTTAGTGAACAAATCACAGAGCTTTATCCGCTTTGTGGGCCAATCAGGGCACTCTATACAGTGGGGCAAAAAAGTATTTAGTCAGCCACCGATTGTGCAAGTTCTCCCACTTAAAATGATGACAGAGGTCAGTAATTTACATCATAGGTACACTTCAACTGTGAGAGACAGAATGTGGAAAAAAATCCATGAATTCACATGGCAGGATTTTTAAAGAATTTATTTGTAAATCAGGGTGGAAAATAAGTATTTGGTCACTTCAAACAAGGAAAATCTCTGGCTCTCACAGACCTGTAACGTCTTCTTTAAGAAGCTTTTCTGTCCTCTACTCGTTAACTGTATTAATGGCACCTGTTTGAACTCATTATCTGTATAAAAGACACCTGTCCACAGCCTCAAACAGTCAGACTCCAAACTTCACTATGGCCAAGACCAAAGAGCTTTCCAAGGACACCAGGAAAAGAATTGTAGACCTGCACCAGACTGGGAAGAGTGGATCTACAATAGGCAAGCAGCTTGGTGTGAAAAAATCAACTGTGGGAGCAATTATCAGAAAATGGAAGACATACAAGACCACTGATAATCTCCCTCGATCTGGGGCTCCACGCAAGATCTCATCCCGTGGGGTCAAAATGATCATGAGAACGGTGAGCAAGAATCCCAGAACCACACGGGGGGACCTGGTGAATGACCTGCAGAGAGCTGGGACCACAGTAACAAAGGTCACCATCAGTAACGCACTACAACGGCAGGGAATCAGATCCTGCAGTGCCAGACGTGTTCCGCTGCTGAAGCCAGTGCATGTCCAGGCCCGTCTGAAGTTTGCCAGAGAGCACATGGATGATACAGCAGAGGATTGGGAGAATGTCATGTGGTCAGATGAAACCAAAGTAGAACTTTTTGGTATAAACTCAACTCGTCGTGTTTGGAGGAAGAAGAATACTGAGTTGCATCCCAAGAACACCATACCTACTGTGAAGCTTTACTGAGTTGAAAGTCCGTGTTGCTCGGCGACAGCCCCAAAACATCACTGCTCTCGAGAAGATCTGCATGGAGGAATGGGCCAAAATACCAGCTACTGTGTGTGCAAACCTGCTAAAGACCTATAGTAATCGTTTGACCTCTGTTATTGCCAACAAAGGTTATGTTACAAAGTATTGAGTTGAATTTTTGTTATTGACCAAATACTTATTTTCCACCCTGATTTACAAATAAATTCTTTAAAAATCCTGCCATGTGAATTCATGGATTTTTTTCACATTCTGTCTCTCACAGTTGAAGTGTACCTATGATGTAAATTACTGACCTCTGTCATCATTTTAAGTGGGAGAACTTGCACGATCGGTGGCTGACTAAATACTTTTTTCCTCTCTGTATGCCTGGTGGGTGGGATGATGCAAGAGAGTGAAACGAGAGTATGGTCGTGTTCGAGATGAGCCAGTTCTGCGCAGATTAGATCAGCGGCTATCGGCGAGCAGTGCATGCCGGTTAGATTTGTGTCTGACTTGACGCCGACTTGCTCTGACGTCATGCATACGTAGGCAACGATAACCTCGTGAGATCTAGGCGGCCGCAGATTTTGGAGCAAGGCGCTGCAGGACGTCTCCCTCGGCTGCAAAACCTAGAGGATGATGGGAAACGCCTGGCTCTCACCTGATCTAAGATCTGATTGGTTCATATTTTGATCCAAACATCTGGTGGTAGAACATGAAATGATAGTTGGTCACATGTATTCTGTAAATCATGTTATGTTGATGACAACAATATAGGCCATAAAGAGAAATGTGTTTTGTGTTCTTTTGTCACGTTTCCTATGAGCACACTGAAGCTACAGCTGATGACCTTTACTTATTATTACAGTCATGTCTCCATATACAATATATGATATCCACAAGCACGTGAGGATGGGTTTCAGCTGCTAACAGGCACCAGAATTAAAATAAAACATTAAACAAGTATGAACGCTAACGCGATGTCTTCAGCCATCGTCACCCCCGAGCTACACATGAAGGGAATTGTGTCCGACTTAAAACGCCGGCTTTCAGCCACGCCCCCTGCTGCTTCCGTCTGCTCTCGTCTGTTTCCAGGCGAGGCGCTGCTCAACTCGATCACGGCCGATGTCACATTCTTTGTCCAGTGGAATGCGGAGATCATTTGAAAGACGACGGTAGAACCCGCCCCACAACCGAGGGCCGTCAATGGAGCGTGGCCAGACTAAATAATACATTTATTTAGTCTGGCCTGGCAGGCTAGGAGACAGCTTCAGCACACCGCTGCTGAATTAGTAACGGCGTTACTCCCATCACTGATCCTGTGTGGTTGTGTTGACTGAACGTGTTTAAGATATGAAACAAGTCCCACACACACACACACACACACACACACACACACACACACACACACACACACACACACACACACACACACACACACACACACACTCACTCACTCACTCACTCACTCACTCACTCACTCACTCACTCACTCACTCACTCACTCACTCACTCACTCACTCACACACACACACACACACACACACACACACACACACACACACACACACACACAAGTCAGTGATGCACACTCAAGTCAGTGCTGCACACACAAGTCAGTGATGCACACACAAGTCAGTGCTGCACACACAAGTCAGTGATGCACACACAAGTCAGTGATGCACACACAAGTCAGTGATGCACACACAAGTCAGTGCTGCACACACAAGTCAGTGCTGCACACACAAGTCAGTGATGCACACTCGCACACACAAGTCAGTGATGCACACACAAGTCAGTGATGCACACTCGCACACACAAGTCAGTGATGCACACACAAGTCAGTGCTGCACACACAAGTCAGTGATGCACACACAAGTCAGTGATGCACACACAAGTCAGTGATGCACACACAAGTCAGTGCTGCACACACAAGTCAGTGCTGCACACACAAGTCAGTGATGCACACTCGCACACACAAGTCAGTGATGCACACACAAGTCAGTGATGCACACTCGCACACACAAGTCAGTGATGCACACACAAGTCAGTGCTGCACACACAAGTCAGTGATGCACACACAAGTCAGTGCTGCACACACAAGTCAGTGCTGCACACACAAGTCAGTGATGCACACACAAGTCAGTGATGCACACACAAGTCAGTGCTGCACACACAAGTCAGTGATGCACACAAGTCAGTGATGCACACACAAGTCAGTGCTGCACACACAAGTCAGTGCTGCACACACACACACAAGTCAGTGCTGCACACACAAGTCAGTGATGCACACTCGCACACACAAGTCAGTGATGCACACTCGCACACACAAGTCAGTGATGCACACTCGCACACACAAGTCAGTGATGCACACACAAGTCAGTGATGCACACACAAGTCAGTGCTGCACACACAAGTCAGTGCTGCACACACAAGTCAGTGCTGCACACACAAGTCAGTGATGCACACACAAGTCAGTGCTGCACACACAAGTCAGTGCTGCACACACAAGTCAGTGATGCACACACAAGTCAGTGATGCACACACAAGTCAGTGCTGCACACACAAGTCAGTGATGCACACACAAGTCAGTGCTGCACACACAAGTCAGTGATGCACACACAAGTCAGTGCTGCACACACAAGTCAGTGCTGCACACACAAGTCAGTGATGCACACACAAGTCAGTGCTGCACACACAAGTCAGTGCTGCACACACAAGTCAGTGCTGCACACACAAGTCAGTGATGCACACTCGCACACACAAGTCAGTGATGCACACTCGCACACACAAGTCAGTGCTGCACACACAAGTCAGTGATGCACACTCGCACACACAAGTCAGTGATGCACACTCGCACACACAAGTCAGTGATGCACACTCGCACACACAAGTCAGTGATGCACACACAAGTCAGTGATGCACACACAAGTCAGTGCTGCACACACAAGTCAGTGCTGCACACACAAGTCAGTGATGCACACACAAGTCAGTGCTGCACACACAAGTCAGTGCTGCACACACAAGTCAGTGATGCACACACAAGTCAGTGATGCACACACAAGTCAGTGCTGCACACACAAGTCAGTGATGCACACACAAGTCAGTGCTGCACACACAAGTCAGTGATGCACACACAAGTCAGTGCTGCACACACAAGTCAGTGCTGCACACACAAGTCAGTGATGCACACACAAGTCAGTGCTGCACACACAAGTCAGTGCTGCACACACAAGTCAGTGCTGCACACACAAGTCAGTGATGCACACTCGCACACACAAGTCAGTGATGCACACTCGCACACACAAGTCAGTGCTGCACACACAAGTCAGTGCTGCACACACAAGTCAGTGATGCACACACAAGTCAGTGCTGCACACACAAGTCAGTGCTGCACACACAAGTCAGTGCTGCACACACAAGTCAGTGCTGCACACACAAGTCAGTGCTGCACACACAAGTCAGTGATGCACACACAAGTCAGTGATGCACACTCGCACACACAAGTCAGTGCTGCACATCAGAGAAGCAAACTATTGCCCTGAACACACTGACACGTTTGTGTTTCATGCGTGAGAACGCGTCAGTCTGGCGGAAGGTGAACTGGTTCTGATTGTGCTGAAACACCCAGAAGATGCTGTAGGGAACAGACTTCATCTGCATGTGAACGGTTCAGTCCAGCTGATAGCGGTAACTTCTGGAAGTGGTCTTCTGATGATGTCATCACCACAAAGTAACACATGTAACACCATCCAGCAGTGCTGTACGTACCAGATCAGCTGTGCTGCAGCGGTGTGTCCATTCCTTCCACCGTTGTGCTCATTCTATTTGAACTTTGTCTGCTTCTCCCTCCAGCGTTTAGTTTTACTGTCTGTGTTGCTATAAGCTAACCGGAGGACCTCCTGTACCGGAGAGGGGTGGAGTTTCTAGAGTGCGTGTAAGCTAGGATAAAGACTCCCAGTGTATTTCTTAGATGGACTTGGATGCACTTGGTGGGCTCATCACACCACTAGCTTTGCTTCTGTACACCACCTGATAAAGACCTGACTATTTTAGTGGGTTCCAGTGAGATGTGGGCCGCTGGCATCTGGAACACTTTCCTGAAGTCTGCTCTCTAATCTCCCCTTAGGGATATTTCTCGAGGGTATGAGGCTGTTCCCATCAGCTGTGTTAATGCAGTCGACAGCGAGCCATGCCCTGAGAACTTTAAATACATACCAGACACCTGTGTCACGTCCCCGCTGACTGTAGACAAGGACATCACTCATTTACAGGTAAGAGTTGCTGTGGGGGTTAAGTGTGTCATGGCTCCTCCCTTCCTCCTGTTAGGTCACCCCCCCACGCGAGTCCAGAGGTAAACACTTGGTCCATGCCGAGGGCCGACTTGGATGAAAACCTGTGTTTTTTAGTCTTTTTATCAAAGCCCTTTTTACGAGATCTGCTTTAGACATCAGAGTAAATGGAAACGATGCTGCCTCGTGTCTTCCTCAGCATTCTGCTGGTTTCTAATAAAACATGTCACTGGTTAGGGTTAGTTCCCAGTCCAAATGTACATGTTTACATGTTTTACTCCCCAGAGCCGTGCACCCTCCTTCCACACGTGCACACACCTACACGAGTACACACTAAGTTGTCATTACTGTTAAACATTCTAGATAATGTGTCATGTCTTACGCCTGATTCATGCTTCTCCGTCTGCATCAGTGCGGAGACACGCAGCGCCATTATCCGTCCTCGCGTAGGGCTCCGGCAGGCACGCAAGTACGTACGGAGTCGAGCCCACTTTTTTAAACATCCGTCGAACGAGACGGATTACGCAAGCTTGTGATTGGTCAGGACGCCGCTGTTGTTTACAGCGCCGCCATTGCAAAGAGAGCCGAGGACAACAAGCGGCAGACACGGAGAAGCTTGAAGAATACCTCACGAAAAAACTCTAAAATATGAACGTTTAATTCTCCCGTGACTGGAGGAGTGAAAAGATGCGCAGCAAGCGTTTTATTTGTGGACAGAAATGACAGGAAACGTGGGTTTAGAGGTGGGGAGCGCATGAAAGACAAATACGTCCGTGTTAAAAGTCTCTTATATACACAAAAACACAATATAAACACACCATCTTGGACCGATACATGACAGGATACCACAGAACAGCGCTACGCCCTCTGCTGTCCTGGCGGGGAATTGCTTTGCAACACTCCCCAGGAGACGGAGAAGTATGAGAGCAACACGCTTCCGTCAATCCGTGTATCTGTCCCTTGTGGAGCTGATGGAGAAGCATGAACCAGGCTTTAGGCTCAGGATGTTGATCTTAAAGTCTCTTGGGGGGTCATGCAGAGATATAATTCCAGCAGTGTGTGTGAGGACTAATGGGACTTTATTAAGTGTTGTTATTTAAGGGACAAACTGGACTTTCATTTCTATTTCAGGTAGTTTTTAACTTTTTTTTTTTTTTTTACCGTGTCCTGTCCACGATAATAAATCACAGTGCATTAAGTGTCCACCATAGTCTTAAGACCTGTGTTGAACGTGCCCAAGCCCATACTTTAGAGAGCACCATGTGAGCACCTGTGTGTGTACACGCGCTTGTTTATGTTAGGTTTCTCTATAGGAGCGTCCAACAGAGAGTGTGAGGGACCACAGGTCCGCCCCCCAAAGATGCGCAGGAGACGGGGGGAGCTCCAAGTCCCAGAGGTCCAGGCGCTGTAGTTTTATAACTATAGCAGAAAGCAGCACTTGATGCAGCAGAGTACGGTTCTGTTCCATCTGCTGTCCTTGTCCGCTCCTTCTCTGTACAACCGACTTGTTGCTAAGAAAGTGCTAACGGACTTGGTCTAGTCACTGATGAGGCGTGACCGAGGGGTCGTGGTCCTGTGTGACAGGAACTAATGACATCTAAACAAATAACCTGTAAGAACTCATCTGTTGTGTTTTAAAGCACTGCAGCTGCACAGATGACTGCTCCTCCAGCACCTGCATATGTGGTCAGCTCAGTCTGAGGTGTTGGTACGACAGTGTAAGTACACACACACACACACACACACACACACACACACACATACACGCACACAAATCTGCTGCAGTTAAAATACGGGCTGCATGGTGGTGCAGTGGTTAGCACTGTTGCCTCGCAACACGAAGGTTGCAGGTTCGAAACTCGGCTGCGGCCTTTCTGCGTGGAGTTGCGTGTTCTCCCCATGCATGCGTGGGTTTCCTCCGGGTACTCCGGTTTCCCCCACACATCACAACATGCCCTATAGGTTATAAATTTTAAGTTGCTTTGGATAAAAGCGTCTGACTAATAAATAAACGTAAACATAAAATATGTAACCATCAGGCTGTCTCAGAAGTGTTGACTACTGTGATTGAGTTTATTGCGAGAGTCATGTCCCCATTATCCCAGTTTAAAGAGCAAGTCACTCCTACATCAGTTTAAACGGCATAGAAGAGTGTCCAAGAGTGCGGTAGACACGTGGTCTCTATTTGGCATTTTAGTTGTCTAAAACCATCATCATTGTGCCCTCTTCACAATAAAACTCTGACTCAGCTGTTGCTAATGGCTAACAGGTACTCTGCTACGTTAGCCGGTACCGTATTGCATGGCTGCACTGCGGCTGAGTCTCGGCCACGCCTCCACCTGCCTCGGCCACTCACTAGCCAATCATACGGCTCAGAGCTGCTCGCCGCTTTAAAACAAATCTCCATTTCATCTGGTGCATATGGTTTCCTACTGAGTTACAACCAATCAGCATGAGATAGCCACAAGTCCCACCCAGTAACTCCGCAGGGCCATTCTGAGTACCTTCCCCGATTCTGACTGGGGAAACGCGCTCACCGACTTATACGAAGGTTCTGTGTGAATGCACGCGACCCAACTCCCAAACCTGCCCGCACTACCTGTTGGTGACACAATCATGGCCAGGTTTCCTGAGTGTGTGTGTGTGTGTGTGTGTGTGTGTTTGCGTGCTACAGGATGGTCGCCTACCTCAGGACTTCTGCCAGTGGGAGCCTCCAGTGCTGTTTGAGTGTAACCACGCCTGCTCATGCTGGAGAACCTGCAGGAACCGTGTTGTTCAAAATGGACTCAGGTAACTTGTCCCTCTTCCAGGTGTTACCATGGACACACACCGGTGTAGTGTCCAGATCTAAATGTTAGGAACACTTATGAGATGAAAAAACGACATTGAGTTGGCTCTTTAGCTAACAGCTGGTTTATTAGAACAAGAGCAGTACACAACCAATTGGGTAAGCATTTTCCTCTGCTAGAACAGTCCTCCCGGGGCCTCTTATGCCCTCTATAGGAATGATGGTGCCACTGCACCCAAATGTAAACAGATCAGAGCATTTAATATTCCCAGACACCACAACCTGCTTTCTGGAGTCTTTCAGTCTAAATCTGTGTTTGAATCAAAACAACAGGTTTCCCCTTACCAAATATTCTGGGTAGTTTTCTGGTGCAAGCACTAACAACTAGCTAACACTGACAAGAGCCAACTGATACTAAATTAGCCAAAAGTAAAAAGATCCACACTGCTGGACTAAAATTTTATCACAAGTAGTGCTGAAATGAGTCATCAAATGATTTGAATAGTTCGATTGGATTCCTCGATTCATAATTTACTGCTTCGAAACTTCGTTAAAAGTGCGCCCCACCGTCTGAACACATTTTACTGGAGCACCATGTGGTCATCTAGGTGCTGTGGAGGAAAACCGAAACCAGCAGACACAAACCATTGTTAAAGGCAGAAGTGGTCCAAAGTTTAGGATCACGAGTGAAACTACAAGCAGAATTGCTAATGCTAAGCTAGCGGGTAGCATTCTCACGAGCAAGTGTGGTTCAGAAAAAACGTGATGGTTGTGACCGGCTAAACTTTAAAAGCGGAAGAAGAAGTCCCTCCACCCCGCTGACGTGTGGATGTCTGCAGGGGCGTGGCCAGAGCCGCTGCTGCAGGTAGCTGGAGTCTGGTTGTTGCTACCACACACCGTAGCAAGGCAAGCCGTTGTAGCATCTAATTCATCAATGCTTTTACATTTGAACACAATTTAGACTGGATTATGTTGCCAACCCGTCATAATAAAATTTATATTCCACAATTACTGTGTTACCAGTTAGTAGCATGTCCAGTAGCTTACCACAGGACATGTTAATGAAATAAATACATTCTACTGATTATACGTGAATACATATTTAGGTATGTTATTTTGACTAGGATGAGTAATACAAACCTAAAATGTGAGTGAAATATAAGTCAAATTTTGTTCCATAAAATATTTATTAACTATAAAAATCACCGGGGAAATAGGGAACACCAATTTAGTATTTATTACTGAGCCTTTGTTAATTTTGCTGTTTTATTTTCATATTTTAGCAGCGCACTAGAGTCTCGTTTCACTTGAAACCTCGTCAGATAGAACACTCGAGTAATCGATGAAGGATTCAGTAGAAAAGATGAGCGGGAGGGATAGGAACGCGCTGACGGGCATGCATTGTGCAAGATTACGGAGACTGTCATCCTCACCCACCTACGTTCAGTGGTGACCCCGGAAATAGACCCTCTGCAGTTTGCATATACACCAAACATGGAGGTGGAGGACGTCCTCATCTACCCACAGCTCCGGGCGCTGGCTCACCTCAAGGTGCCAAAAAGCTCTGTTAGGGTCATGTTCTTGGACTTCTCAAGTGCCTTCAACACCATCCAGCCGTGTCTACTGCAGCAGAAGATGAGGGTGCAGGAGTGGACCAACATCTGACTGCATGGACCATCAACTAGCTCACCACAGTACGTGAGGCTGCACAAGTGTACGTCTGAGGTGGTTGTATGCAGTACTGGAGCTCCACAGGGTATGGTGCTCTCACCCTTTCTCTTCACCTTCTACACCTCGGACTTGTCCTACAACACCAGCAGCTGTCACCTCCAGAAGTTCTCTGATGACTCGGCCATTGTCGGCTGTGTGTCTGAGGGGAATGACCTGTTGGTTCTGGTCTATAGGGCCTTACATGGACAAGCACCATCTTACAATGGTGATCTTCTCAGTCCCTACACCTCCAGCAGGTCCCTGAGGTCCAGTGATCAAAGCCTAGTGGTTGTGCAGCACCAGGCTAAAGGTCAAAGGTGACAGATCATCTGCTGCTGTGGCCCCCAGACTCTGGACCTCTCTCCCCCTGAGCCTGAGATCAGTGGACTCAGTGGTCTCCTTTAAACTCACCTGTTCAGGCTTTGGTGGACCTTCATCACCACCCTCTCCTTGTTCTGCTCTTTCTACCAACGCCACCTTTCCCGGAATCCACTGATTTCCCTCTTTCCTGTTCCTTTGCTCTCTCCAGACTGGAGGAGCTGGGTGAGCTCCTGTCGGCGGTACCTGTGTGTATCAGGTGTTGATAAAGCTGTGTTCAAGCAGAAGCTGTGTCTGTGGTCCGTTTGTGTGGGTCTGGTAGTGGCCAAAGGTTACAATACTAGATTACTGCCTATGTGTACATACATGTACCTTTGTTATTATTGACTTCTAGTTATTCTCTTTAGTGTTGGTGCTGCTGTAACAAGTGAATTTCCCCACTAAAGTATTTAATTCTAGTCTAGGCTCTTAGCTACCGGTACAGTAAACAGCCATCGGCGTAAAGCAGGCTGACCTCCCACTATTACTTACATAAACCACCAAACTGTTGAGTGCAGTTCATGCTCTTGGAATGATTTTAGTCTGATTCGGGGTTTGGGGCTCAGATAACCAACAGGAAAACCTGCTTGAGACAGTCTGAAGGACCGTTGGTCCAGATTCACCAACACATGTCGGAGAAGTCTAAAAGCACGAGGACCGGATCAGGACGTGGAACTGCTGAGCCTGCCCAGTAAACCACGCGGCGTGCAGCCCTGCTGGACGATAACACTCTGTTGTTTTTTGCAGAGTTCGACTGCAGCTCTTCAGGACAGAGAAGATGGGCTGGGGGGTGAGGGCCATGCAGGATGTTCCTCAAGGAACTTTCATTTGCGAGTGAGAAGATTCTGTCATGTAAAAACAAACTAAAGCAGATTCAGAGTTCTCGTGTTCAACAGGATCATCTCGTCCGCAGATATGTTGGAGAGATCATCAGAGATGCCGAAGCTGACAGACGAGAGAACGACTCGTTCCTCTTTACGCTGGACAACAAGGTGATGGTTCTTCCTCTCTGACTGCTGATGTGGGGACCAGATGCTTCTGGAAGCGTGTCTGTTGAGTTGCTGTAAACATTAAACAGAGGACTTGGTGCTCATGTCTTATTTTGAAAAGTTTAGTTGTTTTTCTTAAGTCCACCAGTAAAATCGTTGACGGTGAAGGTGATTGAGAAACCATTGTTGTGTCTAAAATATGATCGGTCATTCTGGGTTTCACAAGCAGCCTGGACATGCAAGGCTGGATTATAATACGGGCAAAGTGGGCACAGGCCCAGGAGCCCCCCCCCCCCGCTTCAGGTGTATGACGTCATTAACGACTAGTCAGTCGACTCGACTTTCATTATTTGACTGTCGACTTTTAAAAAAATGAAGTCATGCAGCCCCTAACCCAACCTACCAAAACAAAGAGTAGACTGGCTTCTTCATCAGGAAGCCTCGTGGGTTTCTAGCGTTACCTGTTGTGGAACTGTGAGCAGCAGAAGCTTTTCTGGTTGGCGCCTCTCATTCTTTACAGCAGCGCCCCAAAACGATCTCCTGACACATGGGTTTTCTGCTTCCTGGTCACATGATGTGTGACTTACGCAGATGAAGATTAGCTTTAGAGATGTGATGTTAGTTCTCATGGTGCTAGTTCCAACTCCCGCCCCGTAGAAAAATACGGCCGATGGCAACATGCTGTCAGTAAGTGAGTTACCATGTTCAGCAGTAAGCTTCTAGACGTGCTAATGACATTTAATTTCTACTGCTAACAATGTAATGGTGACACATCTGTTATATGCGGGTTAGCAGTAATCCAGTTTAAATTAGGCTCACAGATAGTTGCGTTTGTGAATTAAATGCTACAGTGGCTTGCCATATACCTGCTGCGGCCTATGGAGCAGACTCGAAGCAGCAGCCCGACTGTGGTTCTGCTGCAGACAGCTAAGAATAAACCGGGTGATGGGGACTTTAGTTTCATGACCGTCGTGTTTTTACTGAACCCACACGATCGTTATCCTGCTACCGGCTAGCATTAGCTAATCTGCCCCAGTTACACTTTAGATCACAGACTTTGGACCCTTTGTGTCTTTGCTGGTTTCTGTTCTCCTCCACAGCACCTAGAGTAGGTTTAGTCCTTAGGGTTAGGGGTAGGTTGTTCTTCTGGGGAAAACGTCACTTGAAAAGATGTCCCGCGAGTGCCACGTCTAAGAATAGTTCATCGCACACTGAGTTTTCTCCTCGTGCGTGCGCCATACGTGTCTCAGTCTGCTCTGCTGCCACATACACATTCACTGTTACGTAAAGGTTGCACGGCACGAAAAAAAGTTGCACAACGCAACAAATCGATGGAGAAACTGGTTGCCAACGCGTTCAGATTGACGCCACGCTGAAAACTAGCACTGGTGGACTCACCCAGCTTGGCTGGAACCACAGGAGGCTGTTAAGCAGCCAGGACAGAACCGAGCATCTCTAATAGGCTGATGGAACACGCTCAAGTCTACACATCTATAAACACCTTCTCTGGTGGTGGAGGGACACTTCTGAACACAAGGACTAACGGAGACATGTCTCAGGATGATGCCGGCTCAAAGCAGACACAGCAAGGAGCTGCCCTGAGGCCAGCCGGGCTCTTTTGTTGATCTTATCCCTCTTAACACATTTTATATGAACTGCAGTCAAGCCACAACTAGAGGTCATCTGACTAGATCAGAGGACACCTTGAAATGTCTCCAGTCCATCACAACCAGTCACACACCTGGGGACCGTTTAGAGTCTCCAGGTAACCTGACATGCCTGTTTTGGGTGTGTGGGAGGAGCCTGGGTTACTGGGAGAGAACCCACACATCCACGGGGAGAACGCTGCTGTTGGGAGGCGTAAAGTCCTCGGCTGGAGGACACCACGTCTCACTGATGCTTCTGGGTCATCTCCAGGTGGGGGAGGTTCACTGCATCGATGCCAGGCTCTTTGGCAACATTGGTCGCTTCATCAACCACCTGTGTGAGCCCAACCTGATGGTGGTGAGGGTGTTCACCATGCACCAAGACCTGCGCTTCCCCAAGATTGCCTTCTTCTCCAGCAAGCCCATCAAAGCTGGAGACCAGATTGGGTGAGTATGAGCAAAGCAGCCGCCTCCGCCTGTCTGCTGTAGAGATAACGGACCTCCTGTCCTCACCAGGATCGACTACGGGGAGAACTACTGGAGGGTGAAGAGCAAGTACTTGAGCTGCCAGTGTGGGTCTGTGAAGTGTCAGCATGCTGTCGCCAGATAGAAGCGTCAGAAACCCTGAACACCACCGCGATCGTCCACGTCAGGCTCGGTTTTAACGATGTTCTCACAGATCAAACCTATTTATAAAGCAGCTGTGCTGTTTCAGCAGACGGATGCTGCAGTGACACACAAGAGTGGTTCTTATTCTGACTGTATTTTATAAACTGGCTTTTATCACATTCATTAAACACATTTTTAAAACTACGTGTCTGATGATGTCGTGTTGAGCTGTCTGTGGGTCAGACCCAGTGTTGTTCTGTGGGTGGAGGTGGAAACGGCCACCTACAGCTGTGAAACGCCACGGAACCAGACGGTGGGTGAAGTCTGGTGGACGTTTCCATCAGTGACCGTTCCAGGAATGCTGCAGACCGCCTCAGCAAACGTGTTTTGTACGATATTCATTTATAAAGTGGAAAACTTCACTAAAGGAGTTGGAAGCCTTTCAGATGAGTTTGGAGGACTCCTGTCTCCATGGTGACCGGTGTGCTTGTGTCAGAACAACCAGCTGGTACCACCTAATCACTCATTTGGTGCCTTTTCCCATATTTTTAACCTGTTTGTGAAAATAACTCTTTACTATACCCAGATGTACTTTTGTTGGTTTAGTTTCAAAATAAAACTAATAGTTACAAACATGCTCTTTATTTTGATAGGTATAAGAAGCCTTTCTGCCATACAGCGCGCGCGCTCCCTCCTTCCCTTCCCTGTTGCTATGGAAACAGGGCCGGTCCAGGTGGAGCCAGAGGCTCGCGTCCCGTCGGTCACATGGGGCTCCAGCTGAGGACCAGATGCTGGTGCTGGAGGTTCTGAGATGCAGTGCGTCTGATTAAACTTTACACGTGCACGCGCCTGTTGTGTTTTGGGAGGTGCACGTCCTGACTCGATGCCGGCACGGATTTAAGACTCGAGCTGCTGCTCGTGTCTTCGGGCTGCTGGTCTGGCGCCGAGGGACTGGGAGGAGGAGGAAAGCTCGACTAGGAGGAAGACGGTGCATCATGGACGGTGGCCGTCTAAACTTTGAGCAACAATTTGACGCCGCGGGGAGAGTCGGGATGGGAAGCGGCGGAGAGCGGGGTTCGGAGCGACGCTGAAGGATACCGCCTGCCTCGCTTGTTGGACTCGTGTGTCCGGAAGTGACTCAGGAACCTGAAGACGCTTCCAGGGGACGGGACACCTGCTGGTTGTGATGCTTCTTCTCCATTTCCTTTCTGCTGTTAGTTTCGCTCGTCCACAATGGCTCGCTTCGACGACGACCTGTCCAGTCGCTACGGGGGCAGCGGTGCCGCGGGGCCGGCCCCGGGGGCCAGCCGGCAACCGGTGCCTCCGGGGGGGCAGAGGATGTACAAGCACACCATTGCCCAGAGGGCCAGGACCATGGCTATTTACCGCCCCATCCCCGTCAAACAGAACTGCCTCACCGTTAACCGGTCCCTCTTTATCTTCAGCGAGGATAACATCATCCGGAAATACGCCAAAAAGATCACCGAATGGCCATATCCTGCCTCATTGTGCGGGGGTTCAAACCCCCGAACCGCACTTCACAAATAGCGAATATATATATATATATATATATATATATATATATATATATATATATATATATATATATAATTTTATATATATATATAATTATATATAATTTTATATATATATATTATTGCTATATAAATATATATATGTGTGTGTGTGTATATATATATATATATGTGTGTGTGTGTGTGTGTGTATAATATATATGTATATGTATGTATGTATATATTTATGTATATATATGTATGTATATATACATACATATATATTTATGTATATATGTCCATATATATAATATTATATATATTTGTGTGTATGTGTATATATATATATATGTATATATATATATATATATACATATATATATATATATATATACATACACACAAATATATATAATATTATATATATGGACATATATACATAAATATATATGTATGTATATATACATAAATATATATGTATGTATATATACATACATATATACATAAATATATATGTATGTATATATACATACATATATATTTATGTATATATGTCCATATATATATTATATATATTTGTGTGTATGTGTATATATATATATGTATATATATATATATATATAATATTATGTATATATAATATATTATTGCTATATATATATATATATATATATATATGTGTATATATATATGTGTCTGTCTGTGTGTGTGTGTGTGTTACTGTTTCTACTACAAACTGTTGCTGCAGTTTGGAGGTGTAAAGCTGGACATGGGCTTTATTTGTTTTTGCTGAGAGGAAAGAACAGCTTTAATCAGCTCTAAGTTAAAAGCTAGTTTATTCACTCATTCATTCATCTGTTGTTAGAGCTGTCAGGGAAGCTTGTTAATCATGTTCTGCCATAGTGCGTTAGACCAAAACAACCCCATCTTTATCCTCTTTATGGAGAATCCCAAGTTTGACGTACCATAGAAACTGGTGCTGAATTTCCGTTAGACAAAAGTAGTGCTGTCCACATTTCTGAACCCACAGCAGAAGGTGATCATGCTCTCCATGGTGCTGAACCCCCAGTGGGCTAGTGGTCCTGTCCATGGTGCTGAACCCCCAGTGGGCTAGTGGTCCTGTCCATGGTGCTGAACCCCCAGTGGGCTAGTGGTCCTGTCCATGGTGCTGAACCCCCAGTGGGCTAGTGGTCCTGTCCATGGTGCTGAACCCCCAGTGGGCTAGTGGTCCTGTCCATGGTGCTGAACCCCCAGTGGGCTAGTGGTCCTGTCCATGGTGCTGAACCCCCAGTGGGCTAGTGGTCCTGTCCAGGGTGCTGAACGCCGACTGGGCTACAGTGGTTCTTTCCATGGAGCTGAACCCCCAGTGGGCTAGTGGTCCTGTCCATGGTGCTGAACCCCCAGTGGGCTAGTGGTCCTGTCCATGGTGCTGAACCCCCAGTGGGCTAGTGGTCCTGTCCATGGTGCTGAACCCCCAGTGGGCTAGTGGTCCTGTCCATGGTGCTGAACCCCCAGTGGGCTAGTGGTCCTGTCCAGGGTGCTGAACGCCGACTGGGCTACAGTGGTTCTTTCCATGGAGCTGAACCTCCAGTGGGCTGCTACACTGGTGCCACACCAAACAAACATGCTGACACAGAGCAGGTTTTTTAGCTTTGACCCTCCCTGAATTACAGAGTAGAATCAGTTCAGTCTGAATGGGATGCTGAGTAACGCAATAAAACTCAAGTATGAGAACATGTGTTCAAGTAGTAAAACTTCTCAGGTTGTGTGGGAAATGAGATGCTTGGGAAATCAGTTGATTGTTTTACTGGACAAATATTTAACATGCTTTGATGACACAGTGCATTACAGAGGTCTGAGTATTGATGCAGAACAATCAAAGCAGTGCTGCAGGAGGATGCATTAGCCTCTGAGCAGCTGGAGGCCTGCTGGTTTGAGCTCATTGGCCTGCTTCCTCTCCTGTGACTGCCTCTCTTGGCAGAGCAGGAGCAATCCTCAGGGGGTGCTGGATGAGATACCGACTGAACTGTTGTGGGGGTAGCCGATGAGCTGTAGAAAACTGTTTCCTGACATTTCTTTTATAGTTGAAACTCTCTTACTTTATAAATGATCCACATTAACGGGGTTCCTGAGGTTCCGACACAGAACCCAATTAGTGATTCTCAGGTTTGTTGTTAGATACAAAACAACCAACCTAAGGCACACTTTATTTTCCAGGGTTCTTACTTTATTTAGTCTGTTTAAGGTTAACCAGTCAGGGCACATGGCCTCGTATTCAGCATTTTAATCAGAACTCGAAATTCCGCTGGTGATCCATTCAGCCCCGGGGGGGTGGGGGGTGGGTGGGGGGGGGGAACCGCGGGAAATGCAGCAGGAGGGGGAGGAACCGCGGCAAAAAAATAACTGCTAGCGGGGGGGTGGCCCAACACGGCCTCAGTGACAATAATAATGATGATGGCTGGGTTAGTTTGGGAGAAGAGGAACAGTATTCCTAGTGGATCAGGCATTTTGATGAGCCAGTTGGATACCGTGGAGACAGGGATCCGTCAAATTCAGAACACATAGATTTTCTGTCCGTTTTTTGGATGAGGAATTCTGGACCCTCATCACAACTGAAACTAACCGATATGCTCACCAGTATCTAGAGAGGGAGGAACTAAAATCTAGCTCCAGATATAATGACTGGTACGATGTAACTGTCCCAGAAATGAAAGCGTTCATTCAGTTCTGCGTGGGTGTTACATCCCCGACATGTGTTGGCATCCGTAACAGTGGGGCTGTGGAAAAGCCTAGATTGAGGATTATGTATATATATATATATATATATATATATATATATATACACACACACACACAGTGGGGCAAAAAAGTATTTAGTCAGCCACCGATTGTGCAAGTTCTCCCACTTAAAATGATGACAGAGGTCAGTAATTTACATCATAGGTACACTTCAACTGTGAGAGACAGAATGTGAAAAAAAATCCATGAATTCACATGACAGGATTTTTAAAGAATTTATTTGTAAATCAGGGTGGAAAATAAGTATTTGGTCAATGACAAAAATTCAACTCAATACTTTGTAACATAACCTTTGTTGGCAATAACAGAGGTCAAACGATTACTATAGGTCTTTAGCAGGTTTGCACACACAGTAGCTGGTATTTTGGCCCATTCCTCCATGCAGATCTTCTCGAGAGCAGTGATGTTTTGGGGCTGTCGCCGAGCAACACGGACTTTCAACTCCCTCCACAGATTTTCTATGGGGTTGAGGTCTGGAGACTGGCTAGGCCACTCCAGGACTTTCAAATGCTTCTTACGGAGCCACTCCTTTGTTGCCCGGGCGGTGTGTTTGGGATCATTGTCGTGTTGGAAGACCCAGCTACGTTTCATCTTCAAAGCTCTCACTGATGGAAGGAGGTTTTGGCTCAGAATCTCACGATACATGGCCCCATTCATTCTTTCCTTAACACGGATCAGTCGTCCTGTCCCCTTAGCAGAAAAACAGCCCCAAAGCATGATGTTCCCACCCCCATGCTTCACAGTAGGTATGGTGTTCTTGGGATGCAACTCAGTATTCTTCTTCCTCCAAACACGACGAGTTGAGTTTATACCAAAAAGTTCTACTTTGGTTTCATCTGACCACATGACATTCTCCCAATCCTCTGCTGTATCATCCATGTGCTCTCTGGCAAACTTCAGACGGGCCTGGACATGCACTGGCTTCAGCAGCGGAACACGTCTGGCACTGCAGGATTTGATTCCCTGCCATTGTAGTGTTACTGATGGTGACCTTTGTTACTGTGGTCCCAGCTCTCTGCAGGTCATTCACCAGGTCCCCCAGTGTGGTTCTGGGATTCTTGCTCACCGTTCTCATGATCATTTTGACCCCACGGGATGAGATCTTGCGTGGAGCCCCAGATCGAGGGAGATTATCAGTGGTCTTGTATGTCTTCCATTTTCTGATAATTGCTCCCACAGTTGATTTTTTCACACCAAGCTGCTTGCCTATTGTAGATTCACTCTTCCCAGTCTGGTGCAGGTCTACAATTCATTTCCTGGTGTCCTTCGAAAGCTCTTTGGTCTTGGCCATAGTGGAGTTTGGAGGCTGACTGTTTGAGGCTGTGGACAGGTGTCTTTTATACAGATAATGAGTTCAAACAGGTGCCATTAATACAGGTAACGAGTGGAGGACAGAAAAGCTTCTTAAAGAAGACGTTACAGGTCTGTGAGAGCCAGAGATTTTCCTTGTTTGAAGTGACCAAATACTTATTTTCCACCCTGATTTACAAATAAATTCTTTAAAAATCCTGCCATGTGAATTCATGGATTTTTTTCACATTATATAAACCAAAGAAGGGATGAGTGAAATGTGTTCATGACACTGAAGCACCAAAACAGTGTTCTTGATTGATACGCAGTAAACATAACAAAATACCAATAAAGTAATAAATATTATATATATATACATACATAGTGATATATGTCTACATAGGAATATGTATAAATGTATCATAAGCAATAACAACACTAAGAAAATAAGACAAAAACATAAAAAAAATTCTGCAAATGTGATGCAATCCAATATGGCTGCCACCTGATGACGTCATTATATGCAAATTATGTGAGTGAATTTGTTCCTATCACAAAATTTGGCTCCTACTGAAGATTTTTCTAACTTACAATATTCCTCTGTCTCTAACCAGATTTAAGCTACAAGCTCTTTAAATAGTGATGTAAAAAATTCACATTTTACTGGAAAAACTATGGCGCCTAAAGGGTTAAGTATCAGACATCACTTAGCTACTAACGTTAGTTTTTCCTTTTGTTCATTTCAAGTTTTTATTTTGTGCCAAATCACGACAAGAATCGTTCACACATTCTAAATAATGTGTTCATGCTCTTGTAGGATGTGCGTTGCATTCAGGGACAAAGCGTTGACGTGGAGATGGTAACATGGTGTTATGTGCTACTGACCACCATTCAGGCAGACATCTAGGGTCTCATGTTTTCACTGTGATGCTCTGATTCCACCTACTTTAGACGCTTGGTGCAGCAGCCTTCCTTCTGCCGGCTGGTGTTAAAGAACAAAGCCAGAGTGCTGGATTTCTCCACAGATGAAAGTGTTCTCTCAGAGCTGTAGGATGGATTTTACTGTCACTTTTATTTCCTTGACAATCTCACTCCATTTGAGTACATGATCCTGGCCACCATCATAGCTAACTGCATTGTTCTGGCGTTGGAGCAGCACCTGCCAGCCTCAGATAAAACACCTCTGTCAGAACATCTGGTGAGTAAGATGTACTCGTGATGATCTGAAGGATCCTTTTCATCATTTATTTTCTGAGCAAAACAACAGGAACAGGCTGTTTTACAGCGTGTCAAAAGCTTAAAACCACACCTCCCCAAACAGCCACACCCCCCTCCCAACCCCCCAAACCAAAAGAAGTTCCAAACATGTCAGTCATGAGGAGCTGCGCCGTCGCTGCTGATCGCTTCAAGGTTTCGTTTCAGCAAGCTTGATGCACTAGATCGTCATGAAGTCCAGGAGCAGAACACACCACACATCCCAACAGTTTCTCTCTCTCTCTCTCTCTCTCTCTCTCTCTCTCTCTCTCTCTCTCGTGCGTGCACGCACGCACACACACACGCACAAACACACACACGCACACACACATCAGTCTCATAGGTTCTGCTTTAGTACAGCTTGTGAACTTCTGGAGGGTCTCCTACACCTACCTCCTGCATTAGCGTCTGATGGAAGATAGTCTCCTACACCTATCTCCTGCATTAGCGTCTGATGGAAGATAGTCTCCTACACCTATCTCCTGCATTAGCGTCTGATGGAAGATAGTCTCCTACACCTATCTCCTGCATTAGCGTCTGATGGAAGATAGTCTCCTACACCTACCTCCTGCATTAGCGTCTGATGGAAGATAGTCTCCTACACCTATCTCCTGCATTAGCGTCTGATGGAAGATAGTCCCCTACACCTATCTCCTGCATTAGCGTCTGATGGAAGATAGTCTCCTACACCTATCTCCTGCATTAGCGTCTGATGGAAGATAGTCTCCTACACCTATCTCCTGCATTAGCGTCTGATGGAAGATAGTCCCCTACACCTATCTCCTGCATTAGCGTCTGATGGAAGATAGTCTCCTACACCTATCTCCTGCATTAGCGTCTGATGGAAGATAGTCTCCTACACCTATCTCCTGCATTAGCGTCTGATAGAAGATAGTCTCCTACACCTATCTCCTGCATTAGCGTCTGATGGAAGATAGTCCCCTACACCTATCTCCTGCATTAGCGTCTGATGGAAGATAGTCTCCTACACCTATCTCCTGCATTAGCGTCTGATGGAAGATAGTCTCCTACACCTATCTCCTGCATTAGCGTCTGATGGAAGATAGTCTCCTACACCTATCTCCTGCATTAGCGTCTGATGGAAGATAGTCCCCTACACCTATCTCCTGCATTAGCGTCTGATGGAAGATAGTCTCCTACACCTATCTCCTGCATTAGCGTCTGATGGAAGATAGTCTCCTACACCTATCTCCTGCATTAGCGTCTGATGGAAGATAGTCTCCTACACCTATCTCCTGCATTAGCGTCTGATGGAAGATAGTCTCCTACACCTATCTCCTGCATTAGCGTCTGATGGAAGATAGTCTCCTACACGTATCTCCTGCATTAGCGTCTGATGGAAGATAGTCTCCTACACCTATCTCCTGCATTAGCGTCTGATGGAAGATAGTCTCCTACACCTATCTCCTGCATTAGCGTCTGATGGAAGATAGTCTCCTACACCTATCTCCTGCATTAGCGTCTGATGGAAGATAGTCTCCTACACCTATCTCCTGCATTAGCGTCTGATGGAAGATAGTCTCCTACACCTATCTCCTGCATTAGCGTCTGATGGAAGATAGTCTCCTACACCTATCTCCTGCATTAGCGTCTGATGGAAGATAGTCTCCTACACCTATCTCCTGCATTAGCGTCTGATGGAAGATAGTCTCCTACACCTATCTCCTGCATTAGCGTCTGATGGAAGATAGTCTCCTACACCTATCTCCTGCATTAGCGTCTGATGGAAGATAGTCTCCTACACCTATCTCCTGCATTAGCGTCTGATGGAAGATAGTCCCCTACACCTATCTCCTGCATTAGCGTCTGATGGAAGATAGTCTCCTACACCTATCTCCTGCATTAGCGTCTGATGGAAGATAGTCTCCTACACCTATCTCCTGCATTAGCGTCTGATGGAAGATAGTCTCCTACACCTATCTCCTGCATTAGCGTCTGATGGAAGATAGTCCCCTACACCTATCTCCTGCATTAGCGTCTGATGGAAGATAGTCCCCTACACCTATCTCCTGCATTAGCGTCTGATGGAAGATAGTCCCCTACACCTATCTCCTGCATTAGCGTCTGATGGAAGATAGTCTCCTACACCTATCTCCTGCATTAGCATCTGATGGAAGATAGTCTCCTACACCTATCTCCTGCATTAGCGTCTGATGGAAGATAGTCTCCTACACCTATCTCCTGCATTAACTTCTGATGGAAGATAGTCTCCTACACCTATCTCCTGCATTAGCGTCTGATGGAAGATAGTCTCCTACACCTATCTCCTGCATTAGCGTCTGATGGAAGATAGTCTCCTACACCTATCTCCTGCATTAGCGTCTGATGGAAGATAGTCTCCTACACCTATCTCCTGGATTAGCGTCTGATGGAAGATAGTCTCCTACACCTATCTCCTGGATTAGCGTCTGATGGAAGATAGTCTCCTACACCTATCTCCTGCATTAGCGTCTGATAGAAGATAGTCTCCTACACCTATCTCCTGCATTAACTTCTGATGGAAGATAGTCTCCTACACCTATCTCCTGCATTAGCGTCTGATAGAAGATAGTCTCCTACACCTATCTCCTGCATTAGCGTCTGATAGAAGATAGTCTCCTACACCTATCTCCTGCATTAGCGTCTGATAGAAGATAGTCTCCTACACCTATCTCCTGCATTAGCGTCTGATGGAAGATAGTCTCCTACACCTATCTCCTGCATTAACTTCTGATGGAAGATAGTCTCCTACACCTATCTCCTGCATTAGCGTCTGATAGAAGATAGTCTCCTACACCTATCTCCTGCATTAGCGTCTGATAGAAGATAGTCTCCTACACCTATCTCCTGCATTAGCGTCTGATAGAAGATAGTCTCCTACACCTATCTCCTGCATTAGCGTCTGATGGAAGATAGTCTCCTACACCTATCTCCTGCATTAGCGTCTGATAGAAGATAGTCTCCTACACCTATCTCCTGCATTAGCGTCTGATGGAAGATAGTCTCCTACACCTATCTCCTGCATTAGCGTCTGATGGAAGATAGTCTCCTACACCTATCTCCTGCATTAGCGTCTGATGGAAGATAGTCTCCTACACCTATCTCCTGCATTAGCGTCTGATGGAAGATAGTCTCCTACACCTATCTCCTGCATTAGCGTCTGATGGAAGATAGTCTCCTACACCTATCTCCTGCATTAGCGTCTGATGGAAGATAGTCTCCTACACCTATCTCCTGCATTAGCGTCTGATAGAAGATAGTCTCCTACACCTATCTCCTGCATTAGCGTCTGATAGAAGATAGTCTCCTACACCTATCTCCTGCATTAGCGTCTGATAGAAGATAGTCTCCTACACCTATCCCCTGCAGTAGCTTCTGATAGAAAACAGACGGTGAAACTCCAGGATGAGTAAATCGTGACAGATCTATGTCACCCTGTCACTAACATTCATGGACTCACCCATCTGGACTCATGACGGGGAAGGCTGTTGTTGGTTTAGAGTCCTGGAAACAGCAGAGAACATCTTGCTAGTAGAAGCTAACCGTTAGCATTAGCAACTCCACCACAAAGCAGAACTGCTGCAGGCTTGTGTTATTTGTGGAGATAAAATGTCAACGTTGCAGAACAGAGTCGGGGGTAGAGTTGTGTTGCAGAAGAGAGACGTCCAAATATCAGGAAGTAAGACTGAATCATTCCGTCTGAAGCTAACTTCCCCTCCAGATGAATCCTCTGTGCTTCACTCCCCCAGAGTATGACCTGCAAGCCATTCATTCCTACTAGAGGCCACTGCAGACTGAACGAGTGTCCCGCCCCTTTAATGTTAAATTCTTCAGACAGATTTAAGTGATTTTTGTTTCTGTCAACATTAGCAGAAGCTTCGTTTGCTGACTTGGCTTTCCTCTCCTTTACAGGATGACACAGAGCCCTACTTTATTGGAATATTTTGTTTTGAGGCTGGCATCAAGATCATTGCTCTGGGCTTTGCTTTTCATAAAGGCTCCTACCTTCGTAATGGCTGGAATGTAATGGACTTTGTGGTGGTCCTAACAGGGTGAGTATCTCTGGCCTAATGGCTCCCACAGCAGCTAACCGACCGGGCTGATGGGCAGCAGCCATTACTGATGGGGGGAGAAAGCTTTGGTGTGTGTGTGTGTGTGTGTGTGTGTGTGTGTGTGTGTGTGTGTGTGTGTATGTGTGTGTTGCATTTCTAATGATCCGCAGAGCCGAGCTGATGGTCGGGTGTTTCCTTCCTGTCTGAATAAACATTCTCGAGAAAATGGCACGTGAGAGGGGAGAGCACCAGAAGGGAATCAGTGCACGTACAGCAGAAATAGCTCAGAAAGTATAATTGAAGGACGTATAATAATATAAGTATAATAAGATAATATGATATGTAACACGATATGTTTAAGATGGAGGTGAGTCCATCATGTTGTGGAGATAAAGACGGAGAGGACAGACTGAGATAGTTTGGACGTGTCCAGAGGAGAGACGGTGATGAGGATGCTGCGGTTGGAAGGTTGGTGTGAAGGTGGAGGATGCAGAAGATGAGCCTAAATGGAGACAGATTATTGGCTGTGGAGACGCCTCTAGGGCCACGCCCAACCAGGAAGAAGATGTTTAAAATGGGGCCAGATTAAAAACTTACTGGACTTCAGAGACCCTTCAGTGAAATTCATTTTTAATGATTCTGTCTGGTTCTAACGGCTCACTCTGAGTCATGCAGGCTGGACATGAAATAGTCTCCTACACCTATCTCCTGCAGTAGCTTCTGCTAGAAAACAGACGGTGAAACTCCAGGATTAGAAAATCCTGACAGGTCGGCATCACCCTGTCACTAACATTCCTGGGCTCGCCCATCGTGGCTCAGACGTTCCCTGTGGGGAGGACAGGAAACCGACCTGGAGTGGGGCTTTGATGGATGCAGGTGATGGCAGGTACAGAGAACCGCCACACTTGGCCGAGATCTGCTAACAGGATTTTCTTTTGCCCTTGGTTGCTCCTGGATATTCCAGGATTTCCCGTGTTTCCAGTTCTTTCCTAATTGTTCCTTCGTTGCACGGTCTGTTCCTTGTTTTCTGGTTTTTCCTGCTTATTTTTGATAGATTCCTCGGTTTCCTTGGCTTTTCCCAGTTTGTCTTGATTGCTGTCCGATGTTCCTGCTTGTTCCTCGTTGTTGCTACTGGTGTTTTGGTTGTTTTCCCAGGTTTTCCTATTTGCTCCAGGTTGTTTCTGGGTGCTCTGATGTTCCTGATGTTTTTCTGGTTCTTCCTGGCTGCTTTTCGGGCATCTTAAATGAGAAGCTTGGTTCTGTGTGAGATTAGGGCAGCACCTTCCATTCCTGAGTGTTTCCAGGTTGGAACCTGCAGCTGATGGTGCATTTGCTGAAAAATGTAAATTTGAGCGTTAGACTAAAACACTTTCAACAGAACGCAGAAGTGAATGTGAGCCATCACCGTGTGCGCTCTTCTAACCCAACCCAACCCAAACCCGACTGACTTTCCTTCATGAACGTTTGATGGAATCAGACAGGAAGTGAGCAGCCATGGCCGTGTGCTCACGTCCTTGTGAAACGTCAACGATGGCCCAAGGACTGTTTCAGTCCGACGCACGCTTAACGGCAAGTTCGCTCAAGGTTCCCGGATGTGTTCTTGCTCCGCCCACTGTGTCGCGGATGCATCCATGTGCGGACTTTGGACAGCAAAGTTTCCCATAGTGCACTGCGTCGCAAACCGTTCAACTCCGAACGTCAGAGGAGAAAGTTAATAACTAATGTTTTATCAGACTGTGTGTTATTGTAAATAATCGTGTGTAAATTGTAATTTTTGTTGGGTTTTCCTCTTCACGATCCTTCACAATGCTAATTGGCTAACCCACTGTCAAAATAAAAGCACCGTAGCTCTGTTCTGATGAATAATAAACTTATTTTATTCATTAAAGAGCAGAAGATGCTAGTATTTCACAGGTCCTTCTAAAAAATGAGCATATTGTGATAAAGTTCATTATTGTCTGTAATGTGGTGACATGACCGTGGGGAGTTTCCTGGCCCAAGACACGCAGAATCCCACTAGGAGACGTAGGTAAGAACAAATAAAATCTTTTTATTTTGAAAGAGAACTAAAGGTGCACCGGTGAGCTGAGCACAGCTCCGGGGCCGGGTCTGCTGAGACCATCACGGGTCAGGGTGTGGACAGAGTGGAATAACACTAGGAGGACTCCGTTTCTGAGGTTCTTACTGTAGAACTGAAATCCAAGATCTTGGGAGGGAAGACAGGACTGGGGTGAGCTGCGTCTGTGCTCATCCGAAATCCTAGGGAGGTGAGCGGTGGGAGAGCGGGTCGGTCCAGTTGGAGAGTGAGATCAGGCTCGGAGGGGAAATCAGGTTGTTGCTGAGTTGTCTAGTGGTGAACGTTCCTGGTGATGACATGGCGAAGTACACACAGAAACACGTACTACAGCGAGCGAGCACAATGCAAAAGACTAAAGCTACAGTTCACTATGATGGCAAGAGCTGCCCAACGCGAGTAATCATTCAGCGAAGTGAAGTGATCTCTCAGCTCCTTATTAACACTGGACCAGTCGATTAGAGTCGGCCTGCAGCTGGCTGCTCTCCGGAACCGCCCACCCGCAGAGACTGAAGCACGATGAACAGAATGGTGCTGACTCACCCCAGATCCTGACATAAACATCAGACTTTCATACATATTAGACTCATTACACACAACTGAAGTAGTTCAAGCCTTTTATGGTTTCTAACATTGATGATTTTGGCGTACAGCTCATGAAAACCCAAAACTCCTATCTCAAATAATTAGCATATTTCATCCGACCAATGAAAGAAAAGTGGTTTTAATACAAAAAAGTCAACCCTCAAATAATTATGTTCAGTTGTGCACTCAGTACTTGGTCGGGAATCCTTTTGCAGAAATGACTGCTTCAATGCGGCGTGGCATGGAGGCAGCAGCCTGTGGCACTGCTGAGGTGTTATGGAGGCCCAGGAGGCTTCGATAGCGGCCTTAAGCTCATCCAGAGTGTTGGGTCTGGCATCTCTCAACTTTCTCTTCACAATATCCCACAGGTTCTCTACGGGGTTCAGGTCAGGAGAGTTGGCAGGCCAGTTGAGCCCAGTAACACCATGGTCAGTAAACCATTTACCAGTGGTTTAGGCACTGTGAGCAAGTGCCAGGTCATGCTGAAAAATGAAATCTTCATCTCCATAAAGCTTTTCAGCAGATGGAAGCATGAAGTGCTCCAAAATCTGATAGCTAGCTGCATGGACCCTGCCCTTGATAAAACACAGTGGACCAACACCAGCAGCTGACATGGCGCCCCAGACCATCACTGACTGTGGGTACTTGACACTGGACTTCAGGCATGTTGGCATTTCCCTCTGCCCAGTCTTCCTCCAGACTCTGGCACCTTGATTCCCAAATGATGTGCAAAATTTGCTTTCATCTGAAAAAAGTACTTTGGACCACTGAGCAACAGTCCAGTGCTGCTTCTCTGTAGCCCAGGTCAGGCACTTCTGCCGCTGTTTCTGGTTCAAAAGTGGCTTGACCTGGGGAATGCGGCACCTGTAGCCCATTTCCTGCACACGCCTGTACACGGTGGCTCTGGATGTTTCTACTCCAGACTCAGTCCACTGCTTCCGCAGGTCCCCCAAGGTCTGGAATCGGTCCTTCTCCACAACTTTCCTCAGGCACAGGTCACCTCTTCTCGCTGTGCAGCGGTTTCAGCCACACTTGTTCCTTCCCACAGACTTCCCACTGAGGTGCCTTGATACAGCACTGTGGCAACCGCCTATTCGTTCAGAAATTTCTTTCTGTGTCTTACCCTCTTGCTTGAGGGTGTCAATGATGGCCTTCTGGACAGCAGTCAGGTCGGCAGTCTTACCCATGATTGTGGTTTTGAGTAATGAACCAGGCTGGGAGTTTTTAAAAGCCTCAGGAATCTTTTGCAGGTGTTTAGAGTTAATTAGCTGATTCAGATGATTAGGTTAATAGCTCGTTTAGAGAACCTTTTCATGATATGCTAATTATTTGAGATAGGAATGTTGGGTTTTCATGAGCTGTATGCCAAAATCATCAATATTAGAAACAATAAAAGGCTTGAACTACTTCAGTTGTGTGTAATGAATCTAATATTTATGAAAGTCTAATGTTTATCAGTACATTACAGACAATAATGAACTTTATCACAATATGCAATTTTTTTGAGAAGGACCTGTAATAGTTTTGATCAAAAGTGGGCCAAATATAATAAAACTAATATATCTTTGTTGTTATTTTGTTATTTAATGAACAAACTAGACTTTTATTTAATTTTGGTCAGGTCGTTTTTTAACTGTAGCAAGAAGCCGCGCTTGTTGCCAGGAAGCAACGGAGTACAGTTCTGTTCCAAATGCCGTCCTCATCCTCCCGTACTCGGTAGAATAGACTTTCTGGTGTGCTTGCCAACAACATACTTGTCTAGTACACAAGAAGGTACTAGCGTCCTTGAGTATTGAGAAATGGCCTATGAGTCATATAAAGCAGTCCGGGTTCTGACCGGATGTGTCCCACCGAATATTCTAGCATCTCTGTGCTTTATAGATATTGAACAGGCTCTAATTCTTCATGATATTTCTCCACTAATCATGAAAAACAATGTCATAATGATTTGTGAGTGTTTGTCATGAATAGTTTTGTGACTCATTTCATTTCAATTCAGTTTATTTATTTTACGCCAAATGACCACAAGAGTCGTCTCAAGGACCTTCACACAGTAAACATTCCAGGTCAGGTCATTAAGCCAATCAGTAAAAAGTTCCCTATATAAGGAACCCAGCAGGTTGCATTGAAGTGTCAATGTCTTTACACACACACACACACACACACACACACACACACACACACACACACACACACACACACACACACGCACGCGCACACACACAATAATGTGTCTATAGTTCTATTGTGATTTCTTAGTAAATATTCTATTTGGTGAGAGATAAACTTTATTGTATTTATCCTAGTGGATCTATAATTAAACAGGTAAACTAGTAGTAGC